CACTGCAGATATGGGTGCCTTTCTCGATGCGCAGTTAAACTACCATGAGAAGTGCCGAGAGGTCCTTCTCCAGCTCAAAGACGAGTGGCCTGCCGGGTACGTTAATTTTTATTCCTATCTTCTAGCTTGTATTGTTGCGGTTGCTAACTAGCTAGAACAGACCAACGCAGCAGTTCAACTCGTATGGCCGCCGTGCGACTCTGACTCGCTCCAACACCTCCTTTAACGAGCATACGACGGGAGAAGACATGTACCGAACTTCTTCCCAGCAGCAAGACACGCCCAGGTCCCGCGAGGCCACTCGACCGGCCCTAGGTAGCCGACAGCCAACATTTGAGGGCCCAACACAGCTCCGGACCAGCAGGAAGCTGTCTCCATCGCCGGCGCCAGCTCTACGAACCCCTCTCCGAACCGCGAGTGACACTATCTCTCCGGCTATTATTGGCAACAACGCAGCCGGCATAGCTAATGCTCGCAGCCAGTTACGTGTCGTTAGTCAGGGGTATAATGGAGGAGGGGGGAATGACGGATACTACGACTCTACCACAGATGAGGGGACGTCCCCCGTCAGAAACAGTCCAGACCAGTACTACAGTTCCACCAGCACGTCTCCGTTGCGGACTGTTCCGGCCTCAGGACAGGTTCCCACAGCAGTATTTGGTTCAGGGTCAGGAACAGCAACTCCCATGAAGAAAGCACCGCCGCCTCCGCCGCCATCAAGGTCGAAGAAACCCCCACCTCCGCCTCCGCCACCAAAACGTTCTGTTTCTGCCTATGCCGCCTAGCCTTCTTCCTCACCTACCGTCTTTCCCCTGCTGTGTTCCTCTCTTATATGTTCGTCTTGGACTGGTTGGTGGTCCTGTCTTTTTGGTCATGGAGTCTGGCGTCTATCTGGTCTAGTCTTCTCTGGTGCATGTCTAAACCCCGTAGCTGGCCTATCACTACTGTCTCTACCGTCTCTATGTCACTGTATACACTCACTGTCACTGCTCTCTTGCGTCTGCTGTCGTCTGTAGTTAGTCGGTAGTCAGCCTTAAAGAGCCCGGCACGTCCAGAAACGGCCTTAGAAACCACCTTAAATTTAAGCTTATCTTCACGCCAGCAAAACGCCAGCAGAGCCTCACCTCTAACCGTCTCCGACTCCTCTAGTAACTCTTCTTCTACTTCTACTCCATCTACTTCTCCCTCTACCACCACCATCCGCTTGCTTCTCGTCTCTGCTGCTGCTGCTGCCTCTGCCTTCCCTCCGTCCACTGCCCACGCCTGCCTCCATCACGTGCCTTACTAAGCATCACGTGAACCTACTAAAACTCTGCCGCTTCGTCTTCCTTTCCTCGCCTTCTTTTTCGCCTCCTGCCCGTCTCTTCCCTCCCCTTGCTGCGCTTCCTCCCATCCCCAAGCCCCAGAGCGAGCAAAGGAAAAAAAAAAAAGTAGGCGAACCCGAACCATAGCCGGAAGCAGGAGAAACATCCAGCGCGCTCTCGCCCTCCACATCGTCCGCGCTCCCATCAGCGAGCCAAGGTCCGCTACGCTCCCTGCACCACGCGACGGCTGCCTTTCCTCACTTCGCATTGCCTCGCTCCCTCTCCTCGCCTCTCTTCAGCTGCTACTGTCGCCCTCTCTCGCCCTCTTCGCTCCGGCGGCCACGGCCACCACCAACCATCACCACCATCACCACTAACTACTTACTACTGCCATCTCCGAACCCGCCGCACACCTACCTAAACCGCTTCCACCGCGCCAGCCTAGAAGCCTAAAAAATAACATAATAGAAAAAAAAAAGATTAACAGGCACCCCGACGCGACGATCAGCGATATCAGCGTCCTAAGCAGCATCCCACGCTCACGCTCACGTCCAACACCTGTTCACTCTCTATCGCGTCTGCTCTGCCTTGCTTGCTCGCTGGCTGGCTATGCTCTCCCTCGCCACTTGCTAGCCAGGGCATCGTCTGTCGTTATTGGTTTTTTTACTTTTCCCTTTAGTATATGTTTTTTTTCTTCCGTCGTTGCTTCAAGGATATTGCCGCGCTTTGGATGAAGAGCTTTGCTAGCTCAGCATAGAAATATCCCCAAAAGACCATGGCGTCTGTCCAGCAGTCTGCCGGCATGCCGCAGCAGAATCTCGGCCTGCCGCCAAACCTCACTCCCCAGCACATCCAGGAAGTGTACCAGGTACGTTTTATTGTCAAATAATTCCTGAATCACAGTGTGTATGTATACTGACTTGGGTGAAGAAATTTCGGCAGATGCAAGAACAAGGTGTGCGCCACGATGACCCGGAATACCTCAAAGCTCACAACTTGCTGTCTGCCGTCCAACGGCAACAGGCATACCAGAAGCAGCGCCAGATGCAGATGCTTCATGCCCAGAGACAGCAGCAGCAGCCTCAGCAGCCTCAAATGCCTCAACAGCCCCAGCAGATTCCCCAGGCTCCTCCTCCTCAACAGCAACTGCAAGGCCCGCTGAATGGCATTGCTGATTCCAATGGAACAGATGGTAGGCTCTACCCTTTTTTATCCATTCTTTCCTTGATTTTACTTTTTATCTTTCACTTCGCACCTGCTTGTCACGTTCGATTTGAAACCGCGCAATTGTTCTGAGAACGCGATGTTAACAGGTGTCCGTGTAGCAAACCCTACCGTTCCCAGTGCTACCACCACCCCGAATCAAAAGAGTGCCTCTCATGGATCGCAAAGCTTCACTCCAGAACAACTGGCCACCCTGAGAAATCAGATACTGGCCTTCAAGATGCTCTCCAAGAATCTGGCTATCCCCCAACGCGTCCAGCAGCAGCTTTTTGCAAAGAAGGCCGCTGGTGTTGACGGCGTTCTCAGTTCCGACCAATCCGTGGACGGTACTGGTCGCGATGTAGCTGGCGAAGCCGAGGCCACTGTCGAGAAGCTTAGAACCATGTTCGAGACTTTCAAGAATCCCTATGATCTTCTCGGTGGGTCTATCAATTACAACGACCACGCTGTGCGCCGGAATCGGCTGAGGTTGCCTTGCATAACTCCGCTGGGTATCGATCTTGACAAGGTCCGAGAGGACAGGGAAATGATCCTATATAACCGTATCAACGCTCGAAAGGCAGAGTTGGCCAAGCTGCCTGCCAATCTCGGTGCCTGGGACAGCGGTGATGGTGATTCACCTACCGCTGATGACTCCCTCAAGCTCAAGGCCCTGATCGAATACAAGATGCTCAACTTGCTCCCCAAGCAACGCGCGTTCCGTAGGCAGATCCAGAACGAGATGATGCATTTTGACTACCTTGCCATGTCCGCCAATAGGCCTGCTCACCGTCGCATGAAGAAACAGTCCCTGCGCGAAGCCAGAGTCACTGAGAAACTTGAGAAACAGCAGCGCGATGCTCGTGAGACCAAAGAGAAACAGAAGCAGTATAACCAGCTGCAGGCCATCCTTAATCACGGTGCTGATGTGCGCAATGCTGGAACTGAGCAGCGTGGTCGCATACAGAAACTTGGTCGTCTAATGATGGCCCACCACACCCACCTCGAACGTGAAGAACAGAAACGAGTAGAACGAACTGCCAAGCAGCGTCTCCAGGCTCTAAAGGCAAACGACGAGGAAACGTATATGAAACTGCTCGGACAGGCCAAAGATTCCCGTATTTCTCATTTGCTCAAGCAGACCGATGGTTTCTTGCGACAGCTTGCCGCATCCGTTCGTTCTCAGCAGCGAATGACGGCAGAGCGTTATGGAGACGAAGACCAGATTGACACCGATGAGGACGTAGGCGACTCTGACGAAGAGGACGAGAGCCGAAAGGTTGACTACTACGCCGTTGCCCATCGTATCAAGGAGGAAGTCACCATCCAACCAAGCATCCTTGTTGGTGGTACGCTCAAGGAATACCAGCTCCGTGGTCTGACCTGGATGATATCTCTCTACAATAACAACCTGAACGGTATCTTGGCCGACGAGATGGGTCTCGGTAAAACAATTCAGACCATCAGTTTAATCACCTACCTGATCGAAACCAAGAAGCAAAACGGTCCTTACCTTGTTATTGTTCCCCTAAGTACCCTGACCAACTGGAATCTCGAATTCGAGAAATGGGCTCCGTCTATCTCTCGTATCGTCTACAAGGGTCCACAGGTAACTCGAAAGCAACACCAGCAAGCCATCCGATGGGGTAACTTCCAAGTCCTTCTCACAACATACGAATTCATCATCAAGGACCGTCCTATTCTCAGCAAAGTCAAGTGGCTACACATGATTGTCGACGAAGGTCACCGTATGAAGAATGCGGGATCGAAGCTGAGTTTCACCCTGACCAACTACTATCAGTCCCGGTACCGTTTGATCTTGACTGGAACACCGCTACAAAACAATCTGCCTGAGCTTTGGGCTCTGCTCAACTTCGCCCTCCCCAACATCTTCAAGTCCGTCAAGTCGTTTGATGAGTGGTTCAATACCCCGTTCGCGAATACGGGCAGTCAAGATCGTATGGAACTCACTGAAGAAGAGCAGTTGCTCGTCATTCGTCGTCTTCACAAAGTCCTTCGTCCATTCTTGCTCCGTCGTCTTAAGAAGGATGTCGAGAAGGATCTTCCCGAGAAGCAAGAACGTGTCATCAGATGCAGATTCTCTGCCCTCCAGGCCAAACTATACAAGCAGCTTGTCACCCACAACAAGCTTGCTGTAAGTGATGGAAAGGGTGGAAAGACTCCCGTACGTGGTCTGAGTAATATGCTCATGCAACTACGTAAACTCTGCAACCATCCGTTTGTCTTTGACTCGGTAGAAGAAGAGTTGAACCCCGGCAAGGCTACGAACGACCTTATCTGGCGTACTGCTGGTAAATTCGAGCTGCTCGACCGAATCCTTCCCAAATTCCTTGCTTCGGGCCATCGTGTCCTTATGTTCTTCCAGATGACGCAGATTATGAACATCATGGAAGATTTCATGCGATTCCGTGGTATGAAGTATCTCCGTCTCGACGGTGCAACGAAATCAGACGACAGATCCGACCTGTTGAAACGTTTCAACGAACCCGGATCAGAGTATTTCTGTTTCCTCCTCTCTACCCGTGCCGGTGGTCTGGGTCTCAACCTGCAAACCGCCGATACCGTCATCATTTACGACTCCGATTGGAACCCTCACCAGGATCTGCAGGCTCAGGATCGTGCTCACAGAATCGGTCAGAAGAATGAAGTCCGTATTCTCCGACTGATCAGTTCCAACTCCGTCGAAGAACGAATTCTCGAGCGTGCGCAGTTCAAGCTCGATATGGACGGCAAGGTTATCCAGGCTGGTAAATTCGACAATAAATCCACCAACGAGGAGCGAGACGCTCTGTTGCGTACTTTGCTTGAAACCGCCGAGAACGCAGACCAAATTAACGACCAGGACGAGATGGATGATGATGACCTGAATGAAATCATGGCCCGATCCGAGGGCGAGTTTGCCCTTTTCCAAAAGCTTGATGCAGAGCGTCAGAAAAATTCAGAGTACGGCCCGGGACATAAGTTGCCTCGTCTCCTTGGAGAAGATGAGTTGCCGGACATCTATCTGACCGAAGAGAACCCTACGGCTCCTGCGGTCGAAGAGGTTGCTGGCCGTGGTGCTCGTGAACGCAAGAACGTGAAATACGATGACGGCTTGACGGAAGAGCAGTGGCTAACTGCTGTTGATGGCGACGAAGAGACGCTTGAAGAGACGATTGCCAAGAATGATGCTAGAATGGAACGGTTACGCGCTAACCGTGAAAAGCGTCAGAGAAAAGCACAGGGTCTTGATTCTTCGCCTGAACCGTCCCGAGAGACATCCGCTACGCCACAGCAGAAGAAACGCCGCAAGGGACCCGTTCCTAAACGTAAGGCCGACGAGCCAATAGATGATGCTCCATCCAAGCGCAAGAAGGGCAAAGCCAACAAGGCCGCAGACTCGCTCACAAATTCCGAACGATCTACCTTACAGAGAATACTTAACAGCGTCTACCAGACTCTCATGGATCTTGTGGAAGACGTCCCAGCCGACTCGGAAGATAGTGATGATGAGCCAATGACTCGCTCTGTGATCGAACCGTTCATGAAGCCACCGCCCAAATCCCAGTATCCAGACTACTACATGATCATCCAGACGCCCATGGCGATGGACATGATCAAGAGAAAGATCAACCGCGAAGAGTACTCTAGTCTCAAGGACTTCCGCGAGGACATTCGTCTTCTTTGCACCAACGCCCGAACATACAATGAAGACGGAAGTATACTCTTCCAAGACGCCAATAACATCGAGGTAAGCTCATACATATTTCACTTAGTATTCTAGAAAAACATCTATACTAACACGACATCCTACCTAGGCTACCTGCAACTCCGAGCTCAGAAAAGAGACCGAACAACACCCTGAATTTGCTGATTTTGACGACGCCGGTTCATCCGTGGGAGATGAATAGTTTTTTTTCGTCTATTCCGTTTCTTTGATCTACTTGACTAGCTAACTAGTTGATTCACTTCTCTGCGGTTCTCTGGCTGGCGTTGGCGCACCGCTTGTATAATGTATCTAGTTCTTCGGCCCTTTGCGCATTTTTCTCTATGCTTTTCCATGTAGAGTAATATTATAAATTAAAATTCTTTTAACTCGTCTTAACCTCTTTGCCACGCCTGAAGAAGCAAAGCTAAGCCTGTTAAAATGCCCCTTCACCAACCATGGTCACTCATCCTGCTATCTTCGATCTCGGTGGGGTAGTTAAATCCGATTACTGATTGGCTAACTCCGTATCCAGCTATTTTGATGAGTAATACATGAGTAATATTACTAAACACTGATTAAGCTGACTTAAGGATGTCAAATAGATGACGGAGTAAATATATTAATACTTCCTACTTCTTCATCTTGTACTCCGTACACAGCTTGCCTTTGGTTGAACATATAATGGGCTGGATATGGAAGTCAGGATACTAAAATCCGGGGACCATAACATGATAACGCTATCAGCCATGCTCAGACAGATGCAAGGCAGCTACCCTTCGCTCGGCTTGATCTTGTTGAGAATGATATCCAGATTCTGTTCACAGGCCTTGCTCTCATGCTCTATGATCTCTTGATGCCTTGGGCTACGTATGTGAAAGGCTGCATCGAAAGGCAGCGGCTGTGAGTCTAGACTCTGCGACATGTTGTCCGGATCAATCTCCTTTTTCTTGCCGGTCTCATCGTAGACATGGTCGAAGTTGAATGCCCAAAGCATCCGCGATACCGCTGAAAACAGTGTATCGCGAACAAGATGCTGGCCTGGACAAGCTCGTCTACCGAACCCGAACGGACAGGTTGGCAGTGCCGGGTTATCGATCCATCGCTGCGGCCGGAAGTTGCTGGGGTCGCCGAAGACTTCCTCATCGTATTCGAGGGACCAGTGGTTGGCTGCCACAGGCGTGCCCTTTGGAATCCTGTAACCCATGTACTCGTCGTCCTCAAGGACTGCGTGAGGCATCCCCGTGACAGCAATGGGCCTCCATCTCTGAACCTCGGCTATAAAGGCGTTGACATAGGGCAACTTTGGCATATCCTCAAATGTCGGCAGCCTGTCGGGCCCTACAACTCGGTCAAGCTCTTCCTGTGCCTCCTTGACGGCATCTTGATGCAACACACTCGCCATGACGAATACGCACAGAGCCATGGGAACAGCGTGGCCAGCTTCGAAAAGGTCTGAAGAAGTCATTATTAGATCTTCTCTGTCGATTTTATTCCCCTCTTTCCCCCCAGCCAAGGCTTTGGCCCAGTTCCAGGAACCTGACGCAAGTGCCGCATCCGTGAACTGTTCAAGCACCTGTTGCTGCTTTTCAAGGGCCTTTTGCGATCTAGCTTTCCATTTACCGATGCCCAATACTTCAGCCAACCATGGGAATGGTTCTACCACATGGTTACGCTGGAACGCGTCATGGACAGCGTTGAGATTCTCCATGTATTCTTCCGGATACCGTTCTCCTAAGTCAACAATTCTCCGGCCATACATCAAAATCAGTAGGAGATTAGAGTGGTAGAGCTCGAAGAGGTCAAAAAACTGGCTTCCATCCAAAAGAATCTTGAGCAGAAGATGCTTGCTTTCGATGTCTTGGAGAACACGATATCGTTTGGTCATACTAGGATTGACAAGAGACGTCTGTATACGGTTCCGCTGTTTCCACTTCGGCCCGTATGGTAGGAATGTTATCGACTTGCCGCCAAACCCATAGTCTCCTAACCCGACAGAATGTGGGCGAGAGCTGTATATACCTCCTCGTTTATCCAAGAGATCCCTAGCCGATTTGTGTGACCCGAGCAAGATAATCGTTTTCAGTCCACATTTGACCGTGACTACAGGGCCATACTTGTCGTGCCATTCCTTATATGTCTTCCACCGGAAATTCTTGGGTATCTGATGCAGGTTACCTATGACCGGCAATGATGGGGGCCCGGGAGGAAGAGGTAAGCGATGGCCAAAAAATCGAGCTGCAAAATAATAAGCAGCCAGGCAGATGCCAATGAGAGCCAGCAAGGAAAGCATTTTGTCGTTTTTTTTCTCTCGTGCCCCAGCCTCTCAAGAGGATGAAAAGCCGCCTATTGCACTTCTAATGAGACACGACTCCAACCCTGGCTGTAAAGAGGCTATAACTAAATCTGGAGGTCTCCCTACTTATCGACAAGGCTAGGGACTGCAAATTATAAACTTATCTCTCTAACATGATCCTTGAGCCCATAACCAACCTTTGGGATATAGCGAGGGATGCATATTTCAATTCAGCCTTTAGACTCATATTTGGGCAAACATGCAGGTGATGACTGGCTGGATGGCTTGACCAACTCAGTGGTGGCTAGCTGATGGGATGAGATATCTTATAATCAACTGAGCGATCGCAGCTCGCATGACGGCAAAAAGCAAAAGGCCAGCGTTTAGCTAATATGTATTCGTACAAAACGTGCAAAATTACGACTATCCCGTATATCACTTCATTCCATTCCCATGCGCCGGAAACAAAACATTGGGACAGCAAACCTGATTGATTCCATACATATATATAACTTCCCCCCAGCGAAGCAGCGTGACGATACTACGTACTCCACCGAGGGATGCACTGGGGCGAATAATTGGAAACTAAAACGACACTAGAACTAGCCTTCATATTGGGAATCTCTTGATGCACCAAGTCACGACCGGAGTGAAGGTCGACCACATAGTGTCAAGCTTTGGGGGTGGATTTTGAATTTTGGAAGACTACCTTTAAACAAGTATCAAGTCAATGATGCAGTGTGACCTGTCTTCTTCTCCTGCAGAAGCTGAAGATAGGAGCTATAAGTGAGTTTCTATCATCCCTCGGAAACCAAAAACTGAGTATGAGCAAAGTAGATACAATATTATATATGAAGATAGCCACTGTAAAATCAACCTAGAAGCCGTCTAAAGTGACCTCTTTTGCCCCTTTCAGAATAGTTTACAAGATTGTAGTTATCAAAACTGTCAATCATCGTAAACATCTCCCAAGTCTTTCCCGAAAACTCGATTCTATACTTACTGCCGACTTTTGTATCTCATCTTGATCTCTGGGTTTAGGATTCCAACGGCATCCACGTAGACGTTGAAATCTGGACATTTGCCGTCTTCATGTGCCAATTCCAAATTGTAGCCCAAGAGTATCTTTGCGGTCATAGTCTGGCACAATCTGGTTCCCAGTAGTCGTGCAGGACACGACGAGATTCCGAGTCCGAAAGATACCCACTGTTCGTTAGGTGATATCGTGTTATGAAGTATATCGCCGGCTGCCAAGTCAGGCCTATAGAAACGGTTGCCGTCAAATCGGGTAGGATCTGGATAGATTTCAGGGTCAAAGTGGACGAATTTGCCGGAGGTGGTGAGATTCGTTCCAGGGCCAAAAGTCATGCCGAGTGATTTAATTGTTACTGGCTCCTTGACAACTTGACGGCTGCCGGCGACTAAACAGGTAGTCTGGTTAGCGTTTCTTGATTGTTGTTGGGAAGAATCAAAGGTGACAAGATTTACTATTGATAAAACAACTTACCCAGGTTGATGCAGTCCATGCGAAGAACCTCCCTGCTGAAGCTCTCGAACCTAGGGGTATAGTTAAAGATGTCGAAGCTCCATTTCCCATCATTTAACCTTAGGGCTTCTTCCAGCTCCGCTCTGATAGGTTCGAGGAACTCTCTATGGAGTAGAAGCCGGGCAATGAAGGTAGACAGGATCATGATTGTGGGTTCAACTGCCTCAAAGAACATGAACATGGTCTCATCCGCCATCATGTCAATATGGTGTTCTTCATCCTTCACCTCTCCATTGCGGCTTAAGGGGCCCTTCTTCAAGGCAAGCTCAACCATTGAGCTGGCGTAGAACTGGTCATCATGGGTTGGTGAGCTCTCTCGTTTCTGTTTGATTAGACGTCTTAGTTCTGGCATGATCGTCTTCTTCATTGACTTCATAGCCGATCTGATCTGATGACACTCCGGCGCAAACAGTTCCAGGAGAGGCCCCATTATCCGGGGCATTGACTCGTAGAGATGTGTTCGCCCTTCAACCTGGCCGACATAATCGCCCATTTGTTTCGCAAGTCCTACGTCTCGCCCAAACCCAGGGTGGAAAACAAGGAGAACACCAATATCAACCAGAACCTGCAACGATATATTGAAGATAGAATCTTCGTTCCAGCCTGCTCTCATAGTTAATGGCCTGAATCATTTGACTTTTGTGAAAGCAGAACGTACTCTTTGACGATCCCATGAATTGCCTAATGCTATTTTCTGCCTCTGTCATGATAAGTGGATCTAGCTTTTCTGTAGAGACAAGAGATTACCCATTAGTGATCAGAATCCTCACGAAATCGGGTTATACGGGAGTTTAACTTACTCAAGGTGCTCGGCTTGTTGCATGCTTGCATGGCCTCGACGGGAATCTTCCAGGCTGCATCCAGGATGTGATTGAAGTTGATTTCCTATATATCAACCCGTTAAGCTAGCTCAAATGCATAAAATCGGGGCGAACTTGGTTATAAAACATACATCCGACATCATGTGTCTCATGCTCAAGTTATCTTTTGGTAAATTGAAGAATTCTTTTCCACAGTGATAAGGAAGAACAATCATATCGCCTGAACCACCTGGTAGAGGCACGGCCCAGGGCTTGCCCTTTTTGCTGTACTGATAATAATGAGCAAGGGATTATTGTTGAAGTGCATATCTTGCACTGGAGAGCGGGGGGTATATATTACCTCTGTATACCCACGCGCAAATCCTTCCACGTAGTTATGACCAGAACCCCATAGGCGTAGACGAGGGCTGAAGTAACTTGAATCATCCATGAGAGGAATGTTCCCGAGGAATCTTCTTCTTTTCCAACCATGGTGATAATCCACTGCAAAAACGAAAAGAATAGATGTAGCCACAAGGGCAAGCACACTCCCAAGGAAAGGCAGGGCAATGGCCTGGGGCAATAACAGCCCGTCTTCAAACAGCCCAAACATCCTTTCTTTCCCTCTCTAGTGACTTCGAGATAAATTCCGGGTATGAAAGTGCGTGGTGAGTTGTCGGAATGGAGAATGGGAAAATACCACTTCTAACATTTAAATAGGTAAGCTAATCTTAGCCAACAGAGGCTTACTCCGTAATCCATGACCGGTTCATTCGGGGTATGATCCGAGCAGGTTACTATTTGAGAACCGGTCTGGTTGTAAATATGGGTGGTTTCTTTTGGGTTTGTTGGCGTATGGCCCCAATTTTGGTCCTCATTCAGGGCTATCCTGCTACAGTCGGTGGCCAGTAATCAATGATCAGTCTCCACCCACAATTAGTTATATGCCTGCCTTATCGTTCAGCTCTGACCTAGTACTGTAGCTTCATAACCGTCCTCTGCGGATTAAAATGGAGCATGAGTGAGGGGAACGTGCCACGAAGATTCAAGATGCGCCATCCGCATTGGCATAAAACATTTTTTTTGTGACATGTTTACGATGCTATTGGCATTGATAAGGGAACGCCTCTGTTGCTGCAGTGCAAACCAAAATAGTGGAATTTAGTTGGTAGCGATTCATTGACATACGGAGTACGGAGTATTCAAGGAGTCATGCTTGTTCGATTCAATAGACGTGTTCCCGGGGGGTCGGACTGTCCCTTGTGCGGTTCCCCAGGTGTGGATGGAGCACCATGGTGTCAAAGGCTCAACAATTTGTCTACCTCTCGCAGCGATCAAATATGGATGTACCTTCTACTCCGTACTCTGTACTTCATGAATTTGGTATCTCAATGAGAACATTCTGCAGTCCAGTAGGATAAAGTGATTCGCTCTGGTGATTCTCATCAATGCACTGGATCCTCGAGAGATCGACCAGATATCTAATGGAGCGGATGAATTACCCCGAAGGTCCATGGCTGGATACTTACGTGGCTCCAGCGGCCTGCGACTCTATCATAGCTGCGTGTCGTAGTGCCTGTGGGCGTGATAGGTGTGCGCTCATGGGCGTACTTCCAGATGTTTTCAAAATGTGGCGACAACAGGGAGAATGAGGTTGAGCGAGCCTAACCCGGTTAGCGCAACCATCTTTTCGATAACTACCTAGGTAGTTATATGTGGCTCCCAAACCTTAAATAAGCATAAATACATAAATACACTCTCGAAAACTTATGTGAGATCCATGTCAACAAAGACACAAGATATTGCTCGCTGGTACTCCGTACGTACAATTCATTCGGAGGGCAATTTTCAGTGCTCAAAAGTACATGATATAAAGGTTACGGACATGCATGGGAGCATTTTCGAGGCCGTCACTTTCCGCTACGGAATTAGGTAGCTTCTCGTCCGCACTTGCTGTCTACGTGCGCCTGATTAATTCAAACCAGCGCTTACAAAATTTACTCCTGTCACGGTTTACGATAGCTTTCGACATGCTGCTCGAGCTAGATATGTGTCCGTTTCCTTTAAGAGCACCTTGAAACTTATTAGAGTAGGGTTAGAACGGCATCTTCTATATTCAGAACTGGACCATTTATATAATTGCTTGCCCTTCTCAATTCGGTATGTTGCCCGCTTGGGTGCCTAACACTGTGGGTTTCGGCGCCTGTGGTGGTTTTGTAGTCAATCCTGAAGAATGTTTGATACTGGCCCAAGTATAAGTAACTTGTCAGTTTCAACGGCATTGCCTGGCTAGAGGCAGGATTGATTCTCGTGGAAAGCTGGTACAAATCCCTCGCACATCGCAGTATAATTACATACCGCTGCTTTTCCCCTCGTAGCAAATCAACAATATGTTTCGAAGGTAAATAGTAAAGCGCTTATCTGTATTTTCTTGGTAGTCTCATGTCTTCTCTGTTGCCCAGATTTTTGAAAACCTTAATATTAATAACGTTATATTACATAATCTCACCATATGATGATGAGTAATCTTTAATGTGATAGAAACTTTCCTCCCCTGAAATGCCTCGCTTACTCAGCAATCACATGCATTCAGCCAATCAGAAGTCGCTTATTTATGCGGAGACTTTTTCGATCCAAAAAAGGCAAAAAAGAAAAGAAAAAAGTAACAAAAAGCGACTCAGAGAAGAGAAAGAGAAAGAAAGACGAGAAAGACGAGAAAAGGACAAGTTGACACTGCTTTGACGACGAAAACAGGCATACAGAAACCGACATAGAGACCACCGAAGACGCAAGAGAAGCAGATACAGCAAAACAAGATGGAGTCTCTGCTTCAGCAGTCCCGCGCCCTCTGCCCGTTCCTGAAGAAGACTGCCCCGGCTACGTTGCGAGCGCTCTCCACCACCACCAAACCGAGTTCTAGCGTCGTCGGAGGCACCACCACCAACCTCCAGGTTGTTGCCAGGCGCTGTCCTGTCATGGGCAAGGCTCTCGCTGTCCAGAGCGCACGCATTGCGCTGAGAAGTGGTGAGGCGAGGGCCTTTGGCACCTGTCCTCGCTCGGCTGGCGCTGCTGGCCTCGTCAGGGAGAACCTGCGCCGACGCCATGGCAAGGCTCTCTGTCCGGAGTCGAAGAAGGGACTGCATACTACTGCTGCCCAGGCGGCTGTCGTTGGCCAGCAGGCCCGGGGAAAGTCTAGAGGTGTGTATTTTTGCCGTCATGTTCCATTGGTGTTTGAAGGATATCTTGAGTCGAGCGAGATACGGGGCAAGGAAGTGCTGACAGCGGATTAGCAGTCCCGGTCCCTCCGCGGGTCACCATCGAGCAGCTTAACTGCGCCAGAGAAGCCTATGCCGGCCCCAAACCAGCTATCCCATCGACTACTGCAAAATTCGACTATGAAGGCTTCTACCGAGGCGAGCTGGACAAGAAGCTTAAGGACAAGTCATACCGCTACTTCAATAATATCAACCGTCTGGCCAAGGAGTTCCCTCGGGCACATATGGCATCCCCGGAGGACAGAGTCACTGTCTGGTGCGCCAACGATTATCTCGGCATGGGCCGCAACCCTCATGTTTTGAGGAGCATGCACGATACACTCGACAACTATGGAGCTGGTGCTGGAGGAACCCGCAACATATCTGGTCACAACCAGCATGCTGTTGCTCTGGAGAAGACGGTGGCAGATCTCCATCGAAAGGAGGCTGCTCTTGTCTTCAGCTCTTGCTATGTTGCTAACGACGCTACATTGGCCACGCTTGGTAGCAAGCTACCAGACTGCGTGATTCTCTCTGATAGCCTCAACCATGCTTCTATGATCCAGGGTATCCGCCATTCTGGTGCCAAAAAGTACGTCTTCAAGCACAATGACCTCGAGGACTTGGAGATGAAACTCGCCGCTCTGCCACCTGGTATCCCTAAGATTATTGCCTTCGAGTCCGTTTACAGTATGTGTGGCTCCGTTGCCCCTATTGAAGCCATCTGTGATCTGGCGGAGAAGTACGGTGCTATCACCTTCCTTGATGAAGTACATGCCGTAGGCATGTACGGGCCACACGGTGCTGGTGTGGCTGAACATCTCGACTACGAGGCGTACGCCAACCCTGAAGCAGATATCAGGGGTACCGTCATGGACCGTATTGACATCATTACCGGTACCCTGGGCAAGGCCTATGGCTGCGTAGGAGGCTACATTGCTGGATCCGCAGATCTGGTCGACACAATCCGCTCCCTTGCCCCCGGGTTTATCTTCACCACCTCCTTACCCCCCGCTACCATGGCAGGTGCGACCACCTCTATCAAATATCAATCTTCTTATACCCGTGATCGTACCATGCAGCAACTCCACACAAGAGCAGTCAAATCTGCCCTGGATGCAAATGATATCCCCGTAATTCCCAATCCATCACACATCATCCCGATTCTCGTTGGAGACGCCGAAGTCGCCAAGAAGGCATCTGACATGCTCCTGGAAGACTACGGTATCTACGTCCAGGCAATCAACTACCCGACCGTCCCACGCGGCGAAGAGCGTCTCCGCGTTACTCCTACCCCCGGCCACACGAAGGAATACCGTGACCATCTTGTTAAGGCTCTCAAGGGCGTCTGGGAACGTCTCGGCATCCGCAAGACCAGTGACTGGAAGGCGGCCGGTGGCTTCCTCGGCGTAGGATCAGCCCATGAGGAGAAGAACCTCCCTCTCTGGAAGGATGAACAGCTTGGCCTCTCCACTGGTGAGGAGCTGGAGACTGCCATCGAACGCGAGTTGAAGGCCGAGGTAGAACATAGAGAGCATATGATCCGTGAATTGGCTGTTGAATGCGCAGCTGAGGCAAAGGAGGCTCAAGGCCAACGTGTCAACCAACATATTACGGCATCTGCTTAATTTGCCTCCCCTTCTTCTTTGCCATTTGATTATATTTTATGGAACTCTCCCAACTATCGACGGTCCTTTCTACGCTCAAATATCCCCAAGCCGAACTTCTTTTCACTTCTTGCAATAGTACACGTTTAATTGAATATGACATGCCATACTTCAATCAAATAATACTATTTGCAACATCTTTTTTGATATACAGTTTTGATATTACAACATATATAAAGGAATAAATTCTAACATTCTTATTTCGGCAATATTTTTTCACTTACACCCTGCTCATAAAACGTAGCTCTTCTTGACTAGAGTAACTCATTAAAGATAGTCGCTGACTCGAAAAGGAAATCTATCTACTTCCTCGACGCCCTTCCCCTGCTCACCTTGGGGAACTCAACGGGAATCTTCAACCTTGCAATCCTCTTTGAGGCCGCTTCTGCCTTACCATTCTTGATGCTCCATTTAGCAAACTCCGTTTCCCTAGGCTTATCAACTTTACAGCCCAGTTCCCTGAAATACTTCAAAATAGTATCATTCTCCAGTCGCAAATCATCACGCAAATCCGCCGGATCAGTAGCCAGTTCGCTCACATTACTTCCTCCCATCTTGCCCGACGCAGGTGGGATATGCAACGACATGGCACATATAGTAGTATGCAACAACGTGATGTCATTCCGCGAAAGGAACGAGCCCTGGGGCACAAACTTCCGGCGTATCGTGTCCAGGAACGGGTCCGTTATCGTGGGCGTGGTACTTGTCTCTGAATCAACGGCTGTTGAAAGGATACGGCGCAAGTCCTCGCGAGGAGGAAGCTTCTTGCTATCGGGTCCACGACCACCGCCAGAAGACCGTTTGAGTGACCGGGAGAGCTCGATTAAAATCAGTATGAATCGGAGCAATTGCACCAACGTCTTATCACCGGATTGAACAGCTGCTTCGACTCGGTTTGCGACAAAGCGTGACGAGGTAGTTATACCCTCCGAAGCAGCAACGGCAGCCTGCCAGTCCTTCACCGGTACTTTGCGCAGCGTAGGCAAGCCATTGGGGACCAGGCTTTCAATACTGTATACCTCTGCGGGCTGTGTGGCAGATAGGTTCGGTTGCGGGAGTGGTTTGGATGCCTGGATTTCTGCCTGGGCTGATTTCTCTGCTGCCGCGATGCTCATACCGTCCTGAGGCATGAACGAGAGCAGCGCAGATTCTGCTGCTTTGGTGGATGAAGCGGAGGCGTTGGATGTTAGAGCGTTTTCTGTTATGGCGGCTACGGCTTTGCGGGCCATTTTGGTTCCGAATGCTGCTGCCAATGCTTCTCTTTGGGACAGAGCAGTTGGCTGTGATTCCCGTCTCGTTAATATACGGTCTATCACCACAGATGAGTAGAGAAGTAAAACATACCGCGCCCTCTTCTTCCGACTCTTCTTCCACTTCTGCGATGGCTTCTCTCGGGCATCCTCGTATCATCATCTTCCTAGCCTCCAGAAGCTGCACAGTATTTTCCTTGGGGTCGTAAACCGCAACATAATGGTTCAATAGGTTGTCCAGCTGATTCTCGCCTTCTCTACCGGTGAAGTTAAGCTTGGGGTGCCCAGAGGTATGCAATAACGCTTCTGTCAAGGCTAGATTCGCATTCTCAGCGTGCTTCGTACGCTGTTGGCGTGGTTTTATGTATGTGTTTAGAGGGAGTGTCTCGGGGACCGTAAGGCCAGGCGAGGAAGCTGAAGTTCAAGTCATTAGCTTAGTTCATGGCTTCTTCGAATAAGATGAGAAGATACCAATAATAGGGACATGTCCTGCAGTATTGTTCAAGTACCGGACCGTTGCTGGTTCGGTGTTGGAGTGGATTGCAGGTTTTTTGCTTGGCCTGTCATGTCGGTCTGAGGCTCGCTTTCTCTTCTTTTCGACCTGAGAGCTGCCCATGATAACTATGATCGTTTAATTGACAGGCAGGAGAAGGATATTCTTGCTTCTCAGGTCGTTGCTGAGCTGTGTGGATGTTGGTGATTGATATTCAATGATTGATTGATGACCAAGTTAAAAAAAAATTAGTCTTTGCGCCGAAGCTCCACTCTCGAAAGCACAAGCACACAACCACTGTAGAAATAAATATTTACTGCTCCGTACGACCTTGATAGTGAATTGGAGTATAGCCAGCGCGGTTGAAGGCGAGCAACTACTTGTGTTGAAAGAGGGAATAATTTGCTTGAAAACTTTCAGTTTCATTCACATTCTGAGACTCGTCACTATCATAATGGCACAAGTGACACAATAATTACAAAAGTAAAAAGCGCATAAATCATCAGAATTGAGAAACCGTCCAAGTAACTTTTAACCATCTCTGATGAGCGAGGTCATACCTCCTCCATATGTTGAACAACCTTGCCGTCCCATGCAAAAAGATAAAACGCCACATGATTCAAACGTAGTTATCACCCCGCACCGTTATCGACGAAAAAGAAGAGAGAAAAGCGAGTATCAACTCAAGAATCGGATAACGGAACCATCACACACAAAACCGTCACCAAATTGTGTTCCTGGGAAGAACTGTGAATGCCGGGCCGAGATCAAATCGGTACATTCGCAAGAGGGGAAAGTTGTTGATGCACGCTGCGAATATTGAACGTAGGAAAGCAGTGTTGACTTGATTCGGTTGGTTCCGACATTTAAATCATGGTAAAAACCCAAATGTTCGCTTTCTCCTCCAAGGAAATCATGCTTTAGAAGTGTGTTGGTTTTTGAATTCGCCGGTCATGGAATATTAGGGTAATTGCATTGGGTTGGTTTGGCTGAGGCAGAGCGGTCAAATAGTTTACTTGCTGCAAAGGGAATTAGCTATGCTGTTCATTTTTCAATGCAATACGCAGTAGTGGTTGGTGTTTGATATCAACTTACCTTCGGGCTCTAGTCTTACGGCGCTTACGCTTGAGGCGGCGAACTCGCTTCTTTCTCCACTTGGCTCTCATCTTCGCAGAATTGCAGAGGCTGTGGATGACAGATGGTTAGCGAGAGGAAGACATCATCAGTGAAACCGCAATGGACGACATACCTTTCTTCGTAGATGATGAGGATGGTTGAAAAAGAAGAAGAAGTTCGTGCAAAAGCTGGAGGTAAAGATCTTTGTATGTGTGTGTGATGACTAAGTAGACTAGTCTACTTTGGGAAGCGAGGTTTACCTCTCACGTCATGGCTATGATTACATAACAGAGTCTCGACGATAAGGGCAAAAAAAGAAAGCAAAGGCACAAAAGGATAGACGAGATGGAGATGAAGATAGGCGAATTAAATGAACAATAGTGGAAATGAAATTCACTAAGATAGAGACTTAGGTAGCGCTAGTGAGCGAGTGCTATATAGGAGAATCTCGGCACACAGCACAATTTTTTGATAAACACCCGTAAGAACCCAGGAAAACAACAGAAGCAATGAAAAGGTCAAAAGTGGTAAGTCAAGTCACACAGGGATACGGAATTTAAGCAGCGGCAGCAGCTAAAGCCTGTGCTGGCTCTTCAGGAACAGAGGCAACATGAGGTTCGCGCTCAATGCTGACACCGACTCGTTCATTTCCAAGGAGATCCGCCAAAAGAGGGCTGGGACGGTTGTCACGTCCGGGCTGGTGGACTGCCTGGCCGGCCTTGTATTTCTGAACACTGTCAAGGTAGATGTCGAACAGGTAAGAAGAGTCAAGGGGGCCTCCCTTGGCTTCGGGGTGGAACTGAGTGCTGAAAATAGGCCGGGACTTATGAATCATTCCTGTATTTGATATTAGATGAGATACTAGTAAAGAGGTAGAGAATGAAAAGTATTACGTACCTTCGTTGCTATTGTCGTTGAGGTTGACAAAGTAGGGCTTCCAGTCACTTGGAAGAGTGCTGGCGTCGACAGCATAGCCATGATTCTGACTAGTGATGTGGCATCGCCCAGTAGTCAAGTCAAGGGCTGGGATATTATGGGCTCGGTTACCATATTTCAGCTTGATAGTCCGGGCTCCAACTGCCAGGGCAAGAAGCTGGTGACCAAGACAGATACCCATGATGGGGATCTGGGAGGTCTGCATCAATTTGGAAAGGGTGTGGACGGTCTGGGAGCAGTGAGTTGGGTCGCCAGGACCGTTGGAGATGAAGACACCGTCAAAATGGTGGGCGACCTTGTAGACTGGGTAGTCATAAGGGAAGACGGTCACACTGGCTCCACGGCTGACAAGGCTTCGGAGGATGTTCTCCTTCACTCCGCAGTCGATGACGGCGACGTGGGAGGTGCTATTTGCAGCACTGACGTGGAATGGTGATTTGGTGCTGACCTTACGGACAAGGTTGATCTGCTCCGGGTCGATGAAGGCTTCATCCTGGTCGGCATCGTACTCTTCGCCGACAGTGATTCGAGCGAGAGAGGAGCCCTGTTCACGGAGATAGGTGACAATCTGACGGGTATCAACGCCAGAGATGGCAGGGACACCTTCTCGAATGCACCACTCGCTCAAACTCTCAACAGCGGTCCAGTGGCTGTACTTGAGAGCGGCATCTGCAACGACGACACCGACAGCCTGGAGGCTGGGGGACTCGAAGTACTTGAGAAGGCCATGCTCGTCACGCTCGGAAGACGGGACGCCATAGTTGCCAATAAGCGGCTGGGTAAAGACAAGGATCTGACCACGGTATGAAGGGTCACTGAGAGACTCTGGGTAGCCGACAAGAGAGGTGGTGAAGACGGCTTCGCCAGAGATGTTGGTCTTTGCACCGAAAGACTTGCCGTGGAAGATAGGTCCGTTGCGGATGGTGAGGGTGGCGCGTTCAATGGCAGATGGAGCGGCAGGGGCCTTGGCTGACAAGGGTCCCCCGTTCACTACTGAGGCCATCATACGTGCCTGGCCTCCGAACCGCCCACCAAACCGCTGGGGTAAGCCGTGAGCCGCATGGACCTGGGATGGCAGGGATCGAAAAGCTCGAGCGAACATGATGACTGATTTTAGTGATGTGATGGAGCTTCGACGATGGGGGTTAATGTTGTTCGTTTGTTGTTTGCTGAGTAGAAGAAGAGTAATAGGCCAGTCGGTCCAAAAGTGACTCAGTTAACTGCGGCTTTCCACAGGTGGTCTAAAAAGGGAGTCAGCATCCATCTTGATCTGACGGCAGTATACATTGTATATTCTCTATCGAGCATAGAGTTATTCGAGGTCATACCTGAGATGTAGTCCTAAAACAAAGAAGAAGACATGTTAGCATTCATCCAGCCGTCCAGGAGCTCAGCTCTCCACAGAGCCAGGGAAGAGTCATCAAATCATACTTGGGAGGTAAAAACGGAAGCGAGCACGCGCATAAGCACTTTTCTGCCCTTCAGGACTTGGACAATCTGTTGAGAAAGAAGAAGGAGAAGAAGAAAAGAGAAGAAGGAAGAAGCTGGTGGTTGAGCAGAGACGGTGAAGTTCGTCGGGTTGTTCGTGGGTTTTTGTGGAAGTTCGAAAGTTGACTGGAAGAAAGAAAGAAAGAAGGCGAGGAAAAAAGTTCCCAGCTTTTTGCGCTTTTTTATCTTTCTTAGTAACACTGCATGTGAAGGCGGTGAGGGCCGATCGGCCAGTAAGATTCTTCCTTTTTTCTTTTTCCAGGTTCCAATTGCAGAAATTGACCAATCAGAGTAACCACGATGACTGTCTTCACTTTGTAAACTCAATAATACCTCCGCTAGATGGTGTAAGTTACGGGTATTGTACGGTAACTTAATCGATCCTTTTTAACCTTTTTTCAACCTCCGATTTAGGAGAAGCGAAAACATATCAAGATATCAAAAAAGGGGAGGAAGACGAAGAAACATGAAGGCGATGATAGAGATGAGACCATAACGTTGGTGATTTGAAGATGGTGTAGACATGATGGTTGAGCTGATTCTCTTTTTTTGGCTGTCCTTTATACCAGGTTGACGTGATGTAGTGTGTGGTTGACACCCACATATGGACATATACCATTATCAAAGCTAGATATTGAATAGTGAAGTGCTATGACTATAGAGCTCGGAAGATACCATATTCTATATACCACAATACCCAATATTTTGGAGACTTTCAATTCTACTGTCACTGTAGACGGTTTGGATAAGCAAAAAGGACGCAGCCCCAGAATGGCATACCCCGGGCTTTGTCTAAGCTTAGAGTAAACATGTGCAAGATACTCCTAATAGAAAGACCTTGACAGTATCAATTTGCGGGCTAGCTTGTTATCTACTATTAGCGGATACATCTTGGTCTATCTTACTGCCATTTACTGTTACTTACTGTCATATACCACGATCCTGCCTGCTTCCTCAATTATCAAAATCCCTCCGAGTGAGCAGATATCTACAAGACCCTGGATATGAGATAAAAAAGGAATAGTCATGATTATTTCATTTCCAGCCTGCAATATATATATGTACATGTTGCTTTAGAGAAGCTACTCGCATTGTGTTGGCAGTGTTGATACATTCAATGCCTGCTCTATGTCCCTCAGGTCATCTGCCACCAGGACAGTCTCATGGAAACAAACAAAGCAATGACGAATCACCCCGAATGTGTTGCTGGAACACTCCGCCGGTGTCCTGCTCCTGTCATTGCTTACTGTCCTGCTCTCAATGACGTGCTGGCAGCTACTTGCTCTCGTTGCAAACCTCGCTTAGCTTTAGCGCCAAATCTGGCAATATAAAAAGCCCCTTGACACACACTCTCCCTCTTCCTTTTCCTTTTTTCCTTTCCTCTCTCGAGCAAGTAACCAGATGTAGACTGATACATTTGGTTTTCTTCTCTCGTTCACTCTTAGCAACTTGCTAGGTAAGTCAAACTCCCTTCTCCATCTATTAATCTACCTTATCTTGTTGATATCACTACTGACAGCAAAATATTGACGACAGACTGTCCTTTGAAAGCTTTTTACAGCTACTTGATATCAAGTACCTCAAAGTAAGTACCACCATCGCGTCTATCTATCTATCTTCTAGATGGTCATATACTTACAGTTTCCTCTCCTTCTACAGGCTTTCTTTCTTCTCTTCTTCTAGGGTTATCTCAAAGAGATTCCCCTGTCATGATCTACTAGATACCTATCTCTAGTAGATCATGACAGTAATGACAACTACCAGCTCGCACTCCCCTTTCTTATCTACTCTCTAAGCTCAAGTATCAACTTGAACTTAGCTTTTTTTCTTTTCTTTTTTTTCCCATCATATCTTTCCGCAAGTTCGGAGAGACTGAAGGAGAAAAGGAGAGATTTAAAGAAGGAACACTTGTTGGTATATCCATGTTGTTTTTCAGACGCGACGACGCGAAGCGATATTTGTTTCCTACATAGTTTTCTCCCAGGACATTTTCTATATCACGGAAATTCGACTATTCAGAGAGCTAGATATTTGACAACTTTTCCAGCTCTAGCAACTTGTCCTTCTGCAATGAGATATCTGGTGGGTTTATAACGTTGAGCAGAGTGTACTGTCAAAGCTGACGTCTATATAGTGTATAAGCTCCCTCTCGATTACAACCAAAGGTCTGCCAAAAAAATAGCGAAGTGGAATAACATAGTATGTTTTCATGAGACTTATAGGCTGGCCAGTTTATCGACGTTGTCTTCAAGTTTGATGGCTAAAAGGTGGTTGGTATTCAACGCACTTTCAAGCTATGTAAATGCACCCTGTTGACTTTCTATATGCTTGGTTATAGGCCATCCACACTCAGGCTTCAAAGTCACTGCCGAAACCTTTTACAATCCAGCAGTTACACCTTTCAATCTACGTTTCACCAGGGCGTTGGTTTCAAAATTAGTGATAGCCAATAGTTATAACTACTTGTTGGTTCCCCTGCAGTGGACACTCGGTCGGCCGCTAGTTAACTTACTAGGGAAGACCAAAACAATTTTTTGACCAGCCTGTGAGCCAAAATCAACCCCACGACTTATACTTTTGTCAGTTTAAATATTCTAACCGGTCATTGAGATATTGACCGACAGAGGCAATACTATATGGAAGTCGAAGAGCTTGCAGCCGCCGACAGCAACGCCAACTAGTTACAGCGTCTACGAACCCAAGTTCAAGTTCGAGTTCGACGGCACCAAGAGAAGCAAAAACTCGCGCTCTAGTGCTCTGCCAGCACACATGCCCTTCAGGACCGCGGAAAATCTTCCCCATATACCAACGCCAATGCTGATGATTCTGCCTCAGATAGTGGACATGATCCGGACGTGTCTTCGGGTACATAGTCTGATCAGGGTTCGTACGCTGCACCTGAGCACATATTGTCTGCCCTCCGCACCCCTGTGATTTCATGATACCCTGCTCATTCCTTGCTTGGAATGTACGTTTGGCAGCTTTGCTTATGCATGCATCCTTGGGTTGTTTGAATTCCGAACGGCCGCGGAAAAAGCTCTATGTCGATCCCTAGGAAATGTGGTCGATTTTACGTCCGTGATAGAGGCGCTGGTTCAAGGGAACTCAGCAATGAGTATGTATCTACTTTCGCTATTTCAACTCTGATTACTTACCTATTCACCCTATTTGGGTAGACGTTGTTTTAAAAACCGGATGGGGGGTTGGCAAGGAAGGGGTGATTCCGGGATATGAAAATGTGAGTCACCGGCTAGGATAATACGGCACGGACACAATATATTTTGTCTGGGATTCTATGGAGATAGCTATGCATGTTATGTGCATGCCGAAGCAAGGTATCCTCCTTGGCTTCGGGGAGCTGGCCCTTGCGGGGCGAGCAATTGTTGGCTTTGGTTTTTATCCTATAGAACCTTGCTTCTACTGACTACAAGGAGTTTATATCCAAAGGACACAAGAAATGAATATATTTTCTACTGCTCTTTCAAGCATCTATGGCCTAAATAGTCATAAATCTGTATTTGCCTCGCTATAAACCTTCAATCTATGTATATACTTCAATGTGTACTAGAAGAAGAACGTAAGGGCAGCGAGAGCTGATATTGTCAGCATGGCCGCTGGGCCTTGTGTCATAGCACCTCCACTGGTAGGGGCAGGCGTGGGAGATGTGGTAGTGGTTGGTGGAGGACCCTGTTTCTTCCCAGCAGGGCTCTTGATAATATAGTTCTCAACCACTGCAGTTCCATCCTCGATGGCTTTAATCTGTTCCTTGGAACAGCTTCGGCCGGCACTAAGGAGGTAGCAGGTTGGCTCTGGCTCCGCAGGGATATCGTTCTTGATCTGGAACGAAGACACAGTTCCGGTGGTAGCATAGTCTGGCTTCTGAGCAATGTCGATTTCACCGGTAGCAATATCCTTGTTGAACATGATACGCTCGAAAATCTTGAGCGAAGCCTCAGGCTGGTAGGCAGGGACTTCATGGCCCGCCTCGTAAACTCTGGTGAAGGAGAAGTTTCCATACTGACGGACTGAACCTCCGACAAAAGAAGGGTTGACCTTGACGTCGGCATATCCTGCCTTGTGGAAGCCCTCAGTGCCAGTGTAGTTCAAGGCAAGACTGACCTGCTCACCACCGAGCCAGTTACAGATGTAGTCCCTGTCACCATAGACGAGAGCAACCTTGACTCCGCTCTCGAGGAGGTAAGCCAGGTCGTCGGTGTAGCCACGGACATCAGGGCGACCGTAGTCTCCAACGGCATCAAACATTTTCGCTACAGCACCGGAGCGTTGGGTGAAGTTGACTGGCATACCCATGGCGGACAGGACGCGGGACTGGCTGAGGTAGCCCTTGTAGAATGGTGGGGGGAAGGGGTCCTGAACAGGATGGGCTATGTCATAGTAACCAAGCTTGGTGTCTTCATAAGGTCCCATTAGGTGGCTGTCGCAGAAATTGCTAGCATCATTACAGATTTCGTTGACAGTCGCATTGTTGCTGTACAAGTAAGGGTCTCCTTCTTTAGCGGCCTCACGGCATCTGGCGAGTTTGTCAAGGCAGCCGTCAGGGCGGTGGATATCATTTATGATATCATCGCGCTGCTGCTGGCTAAAAGCTGTGATACCATAGGTGTTGTTGAAAGGAAACTCGGCGTAACTCGTGGCTTGCCACATGAGATCGATACAGCCATTGATGATACCGAGGGTGTCAAGGTTGAGGATATGCATTTGTCCTTTTTCGTCAATGGTACGGTTCTTAATCCTTTCATTCTGATCCTGGAAGTACGAGGCGAATGAAGGCCCGTATTTTCCTCCATAGGACTCGGTCCAGATGCTGACTTTGTCATTGTTGGGCTTATGTTCAGGGAATTCCTGGAACCACACTTGTGCAAAGTGCCAGATAGAACGCGCAGCGTTCATGGTGTTATTGGCGGTGGCCCATGAATTCTGGCTGCTAAGGGTTCCGACTAAAGTGGAGAGATTTTGTGCAGGGACGCCATTTGAGAAGTCGGCAACCTTCACCTCACCGTTGATGTTACTGACAGTAACATTAGTAGGCTCGTCGTAACTAAAGCCGACTTGGTTTGGCTGATCAATAAAGAGCATGTTCACTTTGTTGTTCCATGCGAATGGGTTGTTGGTGGTAGACATGGAGTCATTATTAACCATGCAGGGGCCGTTTTCCTGGAAGAGTCCGATCATGGATGACGATCCCGGACCACCGTTCAGCCAGATGGAGAGAGGGGCATTTTTAGGATCCTCACGGGCTTCAAAGAACCAGAAGAATGTGTTGATTGAGTAGTTTCGGTAGACGCCAAAGTCGTCCTCGTCTGGAGGAAGGTGGACGTGGCCAGTGAACGATCTAACTCCCTCATTTGTTTCACAGATGTCATTCTAGTCAGAGGGTTAGCCAAACAAATTCAAATACACAAGTCTTCTAGAATATGCATTGGTCAACGCATACCTCCTTGTATGTGATCTTCACATTTTCGTCGAACTTGGATTTGACCACAGTGGCGCCCTCAACGGGTGGAGGGAAATACTGGGCACTGGCAGCGCCAATGACCGGCAGCGCCACGGCAATGCTAGCCGCAAAGTGCATCGTGGATGTAAATTAGTGAAAGAACGAGAAGAGAGCAGAAATAAAGCAAAAAACCCAGTAAAGCTTCCACGGGTTTGCCCCCTGGTCAGTGCTCCTGGAGGATAAAATCCATTCCCTTCAGGAGGATGCCAATGCCCTTTTTATATTCAAGAAAACGGAAGAAAAAGACGGCGTAAATATTGTGTCATCCATCCATGAAAGAATGAAAGAGATGCGGGGAAGCATCTCGTCCGGGGTATTGGAAGAGCTTGCCTCAAGACTGATCTTGATACAGGGTTTGTTGGAAGCTGGCCAATGGCAGAGATGTCGATCCCCTGGGGAATGCCTGATGCATGGTCAATTTTGGGCTGTCGTCTGAGATAGACGTCTCTGGGTTATTCAACGGTAAGATGCAATCTTATCATCCATGTTAAGTAACCAAGTCACCGACTGGGGTGTGACGGAAGGAAGCATATCCCTGCTTAGAGTGACCTCAAGCCCGTCAAGCCTCTCTCAGCAAAGCTTCAATGCAGACTCCCCCCACAGTTAACTCGTACTGACGCATTCTTCCGGCTGTTGTCGGCATCTTGGAGGCAGCCAACACCTTGGGCGCAGAATACGGGATAGCTGTTGGTTCTCCGGGGCATGGCTTGCTTGGTCCCATGGGAGCTATCCCAGGTAGCGAGGTATGGGGTGGTTCAAGCGTCGTCTGCGGTCGCCCCTGAAAATCGATGCGTAACTGTCTACCCCGTAGTCCATGGCTGTGGTTGTACTCCGTACTATATATATCCACCTGTTGACCATCAGCGAGTCCCCAGAATTGTCCTGTGGATTCTGATTTGGTCTTTGGTGGTCGCTGCAGCATGTGTGGATATTTTCGTATATACGGAGTACATCCAACCGCATTGACGGAGGATGGCCAACCGGGGTTTCTCTGGCCGAAATTCCCCAGCTGGCAGGGCGTATAACTAGAGAACCGTTTCAGATCCTTAGCTATAGTCGACAAGATAAAAAGTTGGATACTTGAATTATTGTTGGTCTTTTTTCCAAACAGCCAAACAGCTAAACTAGATACCCCTTGACCCTTGGGATTCTCCTCTAGCCCCAGCCAGAATCTCATAACATGGAAGCGGATGTCGGCTTTTGCTTTCCCATCAGGGAACTCTCAAGTACCTTGGTGAAGCTTAAGCTGTTTGATGTAAGAAGCCCAGGCCCTTAAGCGATATATTGTGATGTGTGTAACTAGGGATCGCGTTAACGGTGATCATTGTCGCTAACTGAGACTCATGTATGATGCCGCACATAGCCTGCCCGCCACTCGAAGATATTCATCGAGCAGACAGCCGATAAGCCGGAGATGTTTGCTCATATGCCGATTGGGCCATTTGCAGATGTCGGAGAGTTCCTGACCAAGTACTTCTACCCGCAGGTATGCAGGTGTAACACAAGAGTAGCCTTTGCTATTATAGATAAGACCAAGCCGGGCCCAGAGGAGGATGGAGGAGCATTGGCGGGGATTGTGACCTATTCTTACGCATCTGTGGCCAACCAAATGCTGGAGATCGCATTTATGGTCGTCTTCCCGGACTTCCAGCGGACACATGTGACGACTCATACTGTAGGATTGATGCTGCAGTATGCACTTGACCCCCCTGACAGCAGTGATCCGTCGAAGGGAGGGCTGGGTTTGCGCAAAGTGCTTTGGCAGACTGCTACGACGAATGCAGCCTCCCGCGCAACGGCTAAGAAGATGGGATTCGAGCAAGAAGGGATTCTGCGGTGGGACCGAGTGTTTTGGGACGCTGAGCGTAGGAAGAAAGAGGGCAGTGGAAAGAAGATGCCGGCTCACGCAGACAAGAAAGCCGTTGGTAGGGACACAGTGTACTGTGGACTATGTTGGGATGAATGGGAAGAAGGGAAGAGGCAGATGGTTCAGCAGCTAATGGACGGCTTTTTGCAGCGACAAATATAGACAGACAAAATGAAACCGCAGCAGGCTAGATGTAAATAAACACGGCTAAGGACAGACAAAGTATACAAGGTCTACTATATAAAAGACGAATACTCCATAAAACCTAGACGAACCCAGAAATTTGAACAGAGAACCCCAAGATAAAGCGCGCAGACCAAAAAAGCAATCGACAGGTTGAAACAAAGATCAATGTCACATTCCAACTTCAAGCAGATACTTGATGCGTATCTGTGCCACGTCGTACACGATATACTCGTTGTACTGAAGCCATACACCATTATCGTTATTCCTGCCCAGCGGGTTAGAGCAGTCCGGCATCAAGACACCAGCGAGGTCCTTGTGAACACAACCGGCGTCTTTCCACCCGCTAGGGATGGCTTGTCCAAGACCCAAAGTAGCCAGCTTATTGGACTTCTGGGCTAAATCGCCAGCATTGTAGTCGGAATTAGCCAGTTCAAGCATAGGGTTACCAACTTCAACGTCGCAGAGCATAAGTAAACCAGTATTGTTGCTGAGGTTATGGTAACAGTAGTTGGCTGATTTGCTCGACACATCAGCGAAGTAGACACCCTTTCCGAACATGTATCCGGTAACAGGAGCTTCAGGTGGAGCAATTCGGAGACCCTGGCTGAGGATACCACCGTAGTTGGTGGTACGGGAACCGTGCCAGAGCAGACGACGGCAGCTGTTTGGTATGTTGGCGTAAGCGGACTTTTCATAGCGTTCATTTTCTCCCTGACGTTCAATTCGGAAAATGTTGCGGAGCTATTTACACCGTTAGATGCGAATTATTGCGCATGAAATATTTTCAGGGCCAGTACTTACATTGTATTTAACTCTGTGTGTAGCGCCACGAGATTGAATAAGATAAGTCTCCAACTCAGTGAACTCGGTAGAGTTATGGGCAACTAAAAATGGTTCGTTAGAAAGTAAAGAAAAAGTATCAGCACCCGTATAGGGAACTTACGAGGAGTCATTTCATTAAGATTAAGACCCGCGAACTGTCTGTCAAGAATATGAACGGGGTTGTCGTCCTCTTCTTCAGAAGCACTCATAATCTTGCTACTGATTTCCATATCAGTCAAAGCTTCTAGTAACTCGACTTCCTTCTTGATCTGCTGTGGTGATCTCAGCACTGGTGGTCGATTCCTGCCGAAAGCGTGAGGAATAATAGTGAAATATTGGTCACTGAGGGTGTTGATTCCGAGAGGAGACTGTGCTGCTTTTGTGGGATCATGCACTAATGCATCCAACTGTTTTAGGATCTCAAAACCTTGAAGAAGAGTCTTCTTGCTAAGGTTTCCCAGCGGCAGCTTCTTTGCGTCGTATGACATGTCCTCCATAGCGGCGTTTAGGAGAGACTGATTGAAGATCAATGCAACGAGGTCCCGTACGGGCTTTACCAAAGTACACTCTGCCCTCTTGATTTCCTTCTTTGGCTTGTCATCTTTGGCCTTGTCCTTTTTCGGCTTCTTGTCCGATTCATCTTCATATGATCGTTCTAGGTAAGCGTATTTGCCGTTTCTGGGGGGATCATTTCTCTTGGCCCAGCTGAGACCACTCTTGTCTTTGAACTTCTTCTCATAAATGCCCATAGCCTGGTCGAAGCTCGAAGCTTTCAAGTGAGCAGTCTGCCCATTCTCTCCGACTCTACCCCATCGGGTCCATGTAGAGAACTCTCCGGATGTTGGTCCTTCGAGAAGCTGGATGATGTAAAATTTGTTATTGTTGGCGCCTGAATCAGTTCTGTTCAGTGCAGCGTCAAAGACAACACTTCCTTCCTGCCATACACTGTACGAATCTAGATAAAGAATGGAATTAGGCATTGTTTATTACCAAAGGAATGATTGTGCAACTTACCTTTGTTTGGAACAAGATCGTCGACTGGAACATTCAGAGTAGGCTTATCATCAGCTTTGGTGGCCTTGGTGGCCTTGGTAGCTTTGGTAGCTTTCGTATCCTTGGTATCCTTCTTATCTTTTGCATCCTTTGTATCTTTGGCGTCTTTGGTAGCTTTTGCTTTCGCCTTAGGCTTGGTATCTGCAGGGTCAGCTTTCTGCTTCTTCGCAGGCGGCTGATCAGCGCTATCATCTTCATCTTCATCATCTTTCTTATTCTTAGGCGCCTTCTTGGTCTTTCCATTGGCCTTTGCAGGTTGTGACTTGGGTTGAGACTGAGCCTGCGATTGGGGCTGCGATTGAGGCTGAGGCTGGGACTGGGACTGAGACTGGGACTGGGACTGAGTAGTCCTGCCCGATCTTCGAGGACCGGTACCGTCCACCGAGGGCTTCCCCGGAGTCGGCAAAGCAAGCGAATACGGCGCCTCGTCTACATGCTGCTGCTTATCACGCGACTCAGTCAACCAATCGAGAGAGACGATCTTAATATCGTTCCCTAGCGCAATAGCCTGCTGGTCTGGAAATCGTAAGTTGTACTGTCCCCACGCATGAATGGCCGAGCAATGGGGATTGGAAGTGGAATTGGACGAATTGATCCCGCCACTGTCAACGGTACATGATTTCGAGGAGATCGAGTATGATGCAAGAGAGAGAAAGGTCCTATTTACTCTTTGTGCCGGCCGGATGGGCAGCCTTGGAAGTGATGAGATGTGTACACGCATCGGTCACTGTTGCGCTGAAGCTTCCGCCTAGCTGTTCAACGATGTATTTGATCGCTTCTATACGTGATTTGTCAATTGGCTGATACAGATGGATGCGCGGACGCAACGGGGAAAGCGATCCAGAGACAACGGGGATGGAATTGGAGCTTACCGTGGTTATATGACCTGAAGCTGCCGCTGACTACAACGACTTGACCAGCAAGTATTTTGGACATTGTGAAAGGGCGTGTGAGGGAGGAAAAAAGGGGTAAGAGCAGGGATTAGAGAGGAAGAGGGAATAATGTCTCACTATGTGCTGGGGGAGATGAGAAGGAAGAGAATTGAGGATGAGGAAAAGGGGAAGCGAGGTGCTGGTATTTATATCACCAGCGAGCTGCGGCTGCGTCGTCGCCCCCGGAAGGTGCCAACAAAGTTGACAAGGCGCGTCCGCAGAGTTTCGGGCAAAGCTAAAAAAAGCCGCTCCCAGGCTGCAGCCCCTTTTAGGCTAAGCGCCGATAGCTCCGTGCGGCTCTGGCTTAGATAAGCGGCGCTAAAGGCCAGGCAGAAGTTGCTGCCTGATAGATAAGATAATAAGAGAGGAGAGCAAAGAGAAGCGGTGGGAGGATCGGAAGGAATATACAGTGGAGTTTCATATATGCATGGGTTTTTAGCTAACGTACATACATTTCTGCGTGTGGGTGGATAGGATGGGAAGACGAGGTACGTAGTACTCCAGGAACAGCAAAGCAAGGAAGGGTCAGGCCGAAAACACAGCAAAGAAAACAAAGAAGCAAAGAAGCAAAGACGCAAAAGCCCAGATGGATATCTCGAAAACAGTGGAATACAAGCAGTGAAACTAACGCCCTCCTCCCAATCCGTCCTCATAGCATGGTACAAAGTTATACTCTCGGGTGCGAGAGGAGAAGGAAAAGAAAAAAGCAAAGACAACCCAAGTGGTACTGTGATTAAAAAGCATAAAAGCAAAATCAGAAGCAGAAGCAGACCAGCGCGCATTGCTAGGATATAAGAAGCAGAAGAAGGAAAGGTTGAAGCCAGGAATGCGGGACCGAGTTAGATGGAAAAGTATAGGGCCAAAAGATGGCAGGTTTAGAATGCAGTTGAGATAGAATTTTGTTTGCGATTAAAAAACAGCTAGATGGTCGTAAGGGGTGGTCGTGGGTGAACGGAAGGATAATGGTGGCTGTAGTGATAAGAGTCGAGAGGGAGTGGCTAGATCTTTTCGTCTGAAGGGAATGCGCCGGTGGTGAGGGGAGGTGCCTCAACAACAGTCTCGTCGGATTCTTTCTTCTTGGGTTCCTCTTCCTTGGGTTCCTCTTTTGTTTCTGGTCCAGCATTGGTAGGAGAAACTGGTTCCGAGACAGTTAGGTCTGCCTCGGGCAAGGGGTCCGGCTCAGATGCGAGGAAGACGGACTTTGATAAAGGAGATGTCGACTTGGGAGAGGTGGATGTGCGCCTGGATATGTTATGTGAATGCAAGGAAATGCTGGATCCACGACGCTTAGTGACTCCCTCGGATGCATCGGACTCGTTGGAGTATTCTCTGGCCAGCAGCTGAGGCGTGCCAGCGTCCGAGTCAAGACTAAGTGCCAAGAGGCCAGATTCTCGAGCTTCGGAAAGAGTGGCAACGGTAGATGGTGCTCGACTCGGGTTACGGGCTGGTAGAGCGGGAGGGTTTCGTTTTGGGATGGTGACTAGCTTGGCTCGAGCGAAAGGGGAGCTCTTGGAGTTGATCCGTTGCGGGATAGCTTGCTCGGCTACTGCAACAGCAATCTCGGTTTCGGGAAGAGATTCAGGGAGGGACTCTGGGATGGCCTCTGGTACTTTGGAGGATATCGACTGTGCTCGGGAAGTGGTTGTTGATGCAGGGATGGGTATCGACGCCGGGTCAGGTTCGCCCGTGGACGAATGCTCCGTGTCCGAGGTATGTTCGTGTATGGATGAGGAAAGATCCTTTATGCTGTGGGAGCGGGACGAGGTGCGGCTGGCCGTTGATGGGCTCCGGCCCCGGTTGAGCTCGTGGAGATTGGTCTGTGTGCCCTTATCTGTGCTCATTGCGCTCTGAGTGCTAGAGCGCCAACTGCTCCTGTTGCTCCATCTTGGGCTGATGGGGCTGGTGGGACTGGGCCGAAAGTCAAACACGTCGAGCGTGGGAGTGCGCTTGGTGCCAGCTTCACGGATCATGACCCCTTCTCGTTCCAGGGCCTTGACACCATAGGGATCTGGATCGTCTTCCTCTGGGACCCCGAAGGTTCCAGCTAGCGAGATCTCGGCATCACCGGGAGCTTCACCGGATGGAGGGAGCATATCTTCATCGATATCCTGGTCGCCCTGGGCCGCCTTGATGGTCTGGATCAAGGTTGAGATAGATGAAGGAGGGTCCTTGGCTTTGCCTGAGAGTATATCTGCTGCGCTGATTTTCTCGCCGTAAAAGCGCTCGTTTTCATCCGACCGCTCGATGACGATGGTTCCGTCGACCTGGACGCCGGCGTAGAGACCTCTGCTCTTGAGGTATGACCATATGGGAGCCTGTCGTTTGTGGACTTCCGAGTCTAGGACGCCTCCCACGCCGACTGGTCCGGCCACGGCGCTTAGAGAGCCGCCGAGGGTGCACCTTATCGACTTGAAGGCTTCGAGAGCTTCGTAGGTGTTTATCACCACCACGCAGTCGTAGATGTCAACGCCCACGAGGAAACCTAGGCCCGCGGTATGCAGCATGATTCCAGACGGTGGACTCCATTCTCCCGTCTCTGCTAGGCGAGCAACCAGAACTCCACTGCCACCTGCGCCGCTGACCCAGAGGCCTGTTCGCATGGTGGTAAATATGGCCAGTCCCTTGGCCTGCCTGATAACAGAAGCAGGTATCTTCTTTATCGCCCGTTGCTGCTTGCCACGAGGGCCATGCTCTTCCGGCTGTGGAGGCGGCGTCGGCGGAGGTTGCTGTTGCTGCTGCTGCTGTTGCGGTAACTTCGGCGATTGAGGCTGCAAAGGCTGCAAGCTGAATCTCCATGAGAACCGGCTTCTCTGGGGCGATGCGCGAGTTTCCGCCGGCTTCGTCTGCTGGGTCTGCTGGGTCTGCAGGCTGGTATTGCTGCCGCTGCCGCCGCCGCCATTGTCCGACTCGGGCTGGCTGTAGAAGCCATCCGTACAGAAGCTCCGGAGAATGCGCGCGGCCTTCTCGCTCTCCAAGTCGAGCGTCGTCGGCCAAAAGGCTTCTGCGCCAAGCTTGTTGGATAGACGGTTGACCGGCCGTCCAATCCTGTCAAGCTGGTGCCATGCCTTGTCGAAGCCGCGCTTGGAGTAGCCCTTGGTTCGTTCCCATGTCGACGTCGACGTCTGTGACATGGTGTTGCAACCGCAGTCCGTCCACTTTCTAGATGCAAGACTGCCGACACGACAACAGAAGCAGGACAGGAAGAAGACGAGAAGAAAAGAAGAAGAAGAGAAAAGAAGGAGAAGAGAGAAAGGACAGAGACTATAATGGAGACAACGGCTGTCTCAACCTGTCGATGCTCTCTCGATCTGCGCGGCTCGCTCAGGATCAGGATAGACAGCACAGCACTCCGTATAGCAGCTATAGAGAGAGAGAAATGAAGCGAGGGGCCGAAGCGGAACCCTCCCCTGGGCTGTCTCGTCCTCCCTCCCCGTTCGTCTCCCGGCCAGCTTCGCCTACCTGGCCCTGTCTGGCTGTCTGCGTGTGCCTGTCTGCGCCTGTCTGTATATGTATGTGTATGTATAAATAAGTCTGCCCTCCTTGCAAGAAGCTAATAATGCTTGCTGCTTTCCCTCTGCGGCCTCGTGCTTTAGGCCAGCTGCCGCCTGCTGAGTGTTGTCGATGCGATAGTTATGCAAGGGTGTTTCAGGCCCGATGACCCTTGCTTTGCCGTGCCAGGCCCCAAGCAGTCAGCAAGAATAAAAGCCAGACAGCAGCAGGACGGTTAGTTATTATGGAGTTATAGGAAAACGGAAATACAAGAGAGGGGGGAAAGCAGGCAGATCAGAATAAAAGCAATAACAAGACAACAATAATAATATAGCAATAATAAGAAGAAACGAGAGGAAGAAACTAATAGTTGTTCTCCTCAAGCAGGGACCGGGCCGGTTTTCTTGTGGAACGACGAGAGGGAAGAAGAAAAAGTAGAAGAAGAAGAAGAAGAGAAAGAGAAGAAGAAGAAAAGCCGGCGGTCGAGGAGGAAATGTCTATAAGTATATGTATAGACCCGGCAAGCTGTATATGCAGAGCTGTTATATGTATGTATGTATGCATGTAAGGACCTGTATATCATATAGTTGTCGATGCAGCAGGGCAAAAACAAAAAGGAAAAACAAGGTGCAATCCCAGCAGGCATCGATGTCAGGCCAGGTCAGGTCAAACTTCACGCAGAAAGGGAACCAAACGCAGGTTCGTCAGGACGCATCTTCTTAGTCTTTTATCTGTCTCGGTCCAGAGATAAAAAAGGAAGAGAGAGAGGGAACAAGACGAGCCCTGCCCTGCCGGCCGTCCGTATTATTATCCTTATTCTTATTAGTTAGTAGAAATGAATCGCTGGGTCCCGTCGGTCTCGCCGCCTCGCTAGTCCACGAGTCAAAGCCGTCAGCCATCACGAAGATGAAGCGAAAAGAGGAGCAAAGAGAGAGCAAGAGAAGAGAGAAGAGGGAAAAAAGCGAGATCCTTCTCCGGTCGTAACGTCATCAGCTCATCCACCAAGGCGAAAAATCTAAAAGAAAAAGAAAGAGGCTTGAAGGTCGAAGATACCTGGCTGGCTGGCGTCTTTGCTGTCTGCAGGGAAGTACCTGGTACCTGCATGCATTAGCTATGGGGCCTCGTCTTTCTCGCTTAGCCACAGGAAGCCAGAGGAAGAGGAAGGGCTAGAGGAACAAGAGGAACCAAGAGGAGCCCAGAGGAACCGTGATGGCGGACGGCGGGCGGCGGAAAAGGTCCTTGCTCTTTTATTATTATATCTTTGATATGAGCTGTAACGTGTCGTAGGTAGATTAACTGGATCTTGAGACATGAGACGACGAGGAAAAGGAAAAGGGGTAGTTACATATATCACGTCGAATAACGAAGATCTTTTGTCTGTGTCATATATCGAAAAACGACACGGGAAGAAATGCGAGATTCATCTCTCGTCGGTTCTAACCCTAACCACCTCCGAGATCCGACATCTTCTTCCTCCCGAGTTAAATTTGGCTGGCTGATCGTGTCTTTCATCGAGACAGCCCTTTTGCTAAGTTGAAGGAGGCTGTAACTAGTTAAATAACTAACTTCTTAGTAGCATGCCTCTTCCCTGATTCCGCAACGGTCGCTCCCTGCAATACGAACAGGATGCGCTCTCGACTCGGAACTTTGACGGAAGCCATCAAAGCACAAAAGACAACATCTTCATAAAGCACCTGACGCCCAATGGCCGCTAACGCTGGGGAAGCTTCTCCCGTGGAACTGTGACAATGCCTTTGATGCTCAAAATAGGTGTGATATTGACTGTTGGTCAAAGGGTCGTCCCAAGGCCACTCCAAAGCTACTCCAGTGCCACCTCCAATGTCCTCCCGACGATAACCATTTATATTGACAGGCTCAGTTCAAGTGGTTTCTACTGGCCAGAGTGTCGACGCATTGGTTGTTTAGGCAGATTCATCATCGCAACGCACGCTGCATCCATATAGTGTGTATGTACGTATCGAAGTTTTGATACCCTGCCCTACTAAGGGTGGTACTGCATTTTCTATAACTTAGGTACCTAGTTCAGATCGCGACTATGGGTGGGTCTTCAAACAGTACCTATAGAGGGAATCGGTTAATTGATAACAAGTTTCAAACCGATAAAAAGCTGTTATTTATTACCCAAGCTCCCTAAATACCCAATCGATGCCCTCCTAAGCCGCAACAAGGCGACTCCAAGATAACTGCAAGTTACCTTGACCGCAAGTAACGTTGGTTTATTTCGTTGTTAAGGATAAGGACTAAACCTCGAGGCTATTTCAAACAAGAGAAAATAGATATAAGCTATGAAAACACATACAAGTGTGGATTGAATTTGTATTTTTCTTTTATATAGCCAATACCCTATATACACTAAGAGAGTGACAAAGTGTGAGATCTTTAATTAAGCAAAAGGTACCTCAACTAAGTCTATCTGTGATGGAGTCTTTGATACGAGAGGCTCTGCTACAGCTAGTTTGAAAATATTTCATATTGACTAAAACGTTGTAGCCAAGTCCTTGCTCGGGGGCTTTTTCCCAGTAGATCGCGGCAGAGATCCTTCGCTAAACCAACACGCTGGATAGTTAGGTAGGGATTCGTTCTTGGTGCGGCATTAACTATCGTATCATATTTTGCTTCTAACTGCTAGGGAGGAGGGGGAGGGTAAGTTGTTTCTATTGGAACTCCTTCCCGATATAAATATTACGTATGTTCACTATACCCCCATGACCAACTTCTTCCTCCTCTCTCGCGCATGTACGCCCGCAGCCTCTCAGCCAGCAACACCTTGATTCAGCGTTCTCTCTTCCTCAAAAGCCAAGAACCCCAAGGCAGCCGGTGAATCAGCCAACCAACCAACCCACGATGTTTGAACACTTTACCGCGTGGCACATCCCACCTCTCCTCGTGGCCACTGCCACCACCTTCGGAGGATTGATGCCATTCTGGAACGCTGCCTATGCCATCGAAGAATTCGGGCTGCCAAAGCGCATTGCAGTCTCCAAGGAAGCCCAGGCAATCATGATTACCGCCTCGGGTCGAACCACAGCACTTGGTCTCGCGCTTTTCACCTTCTACCTCCAAGACAAATTCCGCGAAGTCGACACGATCATGTTCATTCTAGGCTATCTCGGCCTCGTCGATGGGTATGTGTGCTGGCGTGAGGGTGTACCGGGGAAAGCAGTCTTTCGGACCGTCTCTGGGCTGTTGATCGCGGCATGGGGATGGTTCAGCATGACCAGTTAGAGTGTGGTGACAACCGTTGGAATTGGGATTAGATTGCGATGAAAGCCTAAGCTAGGGAGATCTGCCAATCAATCAATGCACGGAGCTCAAACGTGACTCGTGGACGGTTGATCTGCGTGCTTGACTCGGGCATTATCAAATAATAATAACCAACCCATGCATGCTTTATATTGTTATTTTTATTGCTGTTGTTAGTATATCATGCATATTTTACGTACATACGTTCCATCTGATATCAGATGCCGCGAAACATGCTTGGCAGCCCATGGTTATGTGACCAATAAAAAAAGAGGAATATAAAAAAAGGAGAAAAAAGCTCCTAGCCAGGATCGAACTGGCGTCGTCGGAATCAAAATCCGATGTGCTACCACTACACCATAGAAGCATAGCTAGTGAGAGACCGTGGGTTGAGTGGTAAAAGAGACAAGCATCATATATAGGAGGAGATATAGGACGAGGACTAGGAGTATGACGGAGAGAAAGTGCTAGGTAGGAAGGAAAAAGAGAAGAGAGAAGAAGCTGATGAGAGAAGTCTATGTTACTTCTAGTTACCCTGGTCGATGTACAGGACTCTGCAGACTGTTACTTGCTTATACCAAAAAGACAGATGAAACAGGCCAGACAGACAGAAAGAAAGATAGAGAGACAAGGAAATCGTTTCGTCTATACTATATTTACAAGGCACCAAGGTCCTTAAGCTTGGAGATGAGGCCGTCGACGTCCTCTACTTTGCTGCCACCTTGTCGCGTTGGTGGTTCTGTCATAGTTAGCTAGGATCCAAGTGGGAGCAGAAAGAGAGAGAGAGAGAGGCATACCAGTAACTTTGACAGTGTTCAACCGTCGCGACTCATCGAGGCCAAAGTCCGCCAGGGTCTTCTTCTCAATGGGCTTCTTCTTCGCCTTCATCAAGTTCGGCAGAGTCGCAAACTTGGGCGTGTTCAGCCGTAGGTCCGTCGTGATAACCATAGGCAACTTCGCCTCCAACGTCTCAACACCCCCGTCCACCTCCCTCGTCACTTCAACCGTTCCCTCCCCATCCTTAACCGTCACTTTACTCGCCTGCGTAGCCTGAGACCAGCCCAGCAGACCAGCAAGCATCTGGCCGGTCTGACCATGGTCGCCGTCGATAGCCTGCTTGCCCAAGAAGACAAGGTTGATTTTCTCCTTCTCCACGACCCCCTTGAGCATCTTGGCAACCGTCAGCGGTTCCAGGCCAGAGTAGAATCCGTCCTTTGCCTCGGGCACCTCGACGTGCATTGCTCGGTCCGCACCCAGGGCAAGGGCGGTTCGAAGGACGTCCACGGTCTTGGGTCCGCCGGCGGAGACGGCCAGCACTTCAGAGACTTTCATGGGTGATTTGGCGTCTTTTCGTAGGCGGGAGGCTTCTTCCATGGACAGCTCGTCGAATGGGTTCATGGCTTGTCGCATGCCGGTTATGTCGACGCTGGTTTGCGTCTTGCCGATGCGGGGTTTAAGCTGTCGTTCGTTAGCATCATGTATTGTATGTCGTTATATACAATTGGCCGGAGATGATATGGTAAGAGAGCGTGCGTCAAGGTTGTGTCTCCTCCAAGGTGCTGATATCAAGCCCAGCTTGACGGTATGCAGCGTCACCGGTCCCTTGTGGTCACACCTCGGCAGGATGAGAAGCACTCACGGTATAGTCAAGAACCCTCTTGACGGGCACTAATATCCTCAATGCGCTGGCCATTGTAAATGTATCTCTATCTCGTCTGTCCTTGTTTCGAGGAAAGCTCTTCTCTCTCGTCCAAGGTGTGTTGTATAGATGTCTCGCTGTGATAGTCAAGTTGTCGTTGCTTGCTCGCACCAGAAAAAAAGGCCGAGCAACTTCATATGCCAAGACGCGGTTCTTTTCGGACGGCGAGGCCGAAGCTTCGGCTTTTTGGTTCCTCATCATCAAACATCAACATCATCTATTCGTTTTTTAGACTGTCATTCTAGCTATTCAAGAGTATTACTACTACCATGTTTCCTGCTTATATCGCCCAACCTTCTCCATGTCTATCAAATATTTCTCTGCCGCCTGTCTGCTCTCCGCCGAATCGCCCAGCGGAGCCTGGAAAGTCTCTATCAGTGCCTCACGAACAGCTTGGGGCATCCGGCCAGACGAGCCACATACAAACACTGAGCCTCCCTTCTCGTGCAGCAGGTCGTAGAAGACCGGGGAGTTCTCCCGCAGTGCATCCTGGACATAGTACTTTTTCTTCTGGTCTCGTGAAAAGGCCGTGATCACCGTCAGATTGAGTTGGGCCTTGAGTTCTTCCCATTCACCTTCAAAGAAGTAATCTGCTGCCTTGTTACGTCCACCGTACAGCAGTATCACTGGCCCAAGGGGATAAGGCTCCTCATCCGGACCATGTTTCTTTTTCAATTCCTCAGCCATCGCTGCTTTTTCCCAGAGCAGGGACCGTATTGGAGCAACGCCTGTTCCCGGGCCAATCAGCACAGACGGGTCAGAGAGCTGTTTTACTGATGAATAGAGTCCTCCCTTTTGCACTTGCACCTTCAACGTGCTTCCAGGCTGCAGGGCGGCTAGATACCGTGTGCAAACTCCTTGGCGTATCCTCTTTATCACTGTCTGGTACTTGACAATTGCAACTAGCAGCTCAAAACGTGTACCCCCATCTGTCGATGACTTTAGCTTCCCACCGCTCGCAAGACTGAACTGTCTGCCTCGAAGTACGGGAAGTACGGAGCACGCTGACTGCCATGGAATCTTGACGGTATCGAACTCAGCCAGGATCTCCAGGATACTTCGCCTCGGGCGAGTGGTATAGTCGTAGAACTCATCTATGTACTCTGGATTCGTGAACTCTAAAAGTCGCTCTTTATGCATCTCGTCTTTCGTGAAATGTGCAATCTGGCTAAAGAATGACCGTCTAGGAATGGCCATGATATCTAGATAGTCTGTGAGGAGTGCGCGAAGGGTGAAACCAGGTACGCCAAGTAAGAATGGGATGGATGGTGCGGAGACAGAGGCTGATGCCGAAGAGCCGTCACCAGTGACAAACTGTAGAGGCATATCGGCTTGTTCTCCCCAGCCCATCAGTGCTATAAGCCTGTCTACGTCCTGGGGGAAATTCCGAGGAGTGATGTGTAGTATATCCCCTGGAGCATAATTTATAGACTCCGAGGCAGTTAGAACTAGGTGTCGAACATCCTGCCAGTGGCTCGATGGTGTCATTCGAGTGTTCACTGTAAGTGTTGCTGAGATTGACCCAGGAAGTGGCCGGGTATCATGGTCTAAAGAGTCGGGCTCCTGAGCCTTGAATGGCTGCTTCACTCTAATTACCCGATCTTCTTCTTTCAGGTCATAATCATCGAGGATCCATTTAGGTGGTAGACGGACACCATCTGGGATAGGATGTTGCCCGTCCTTCAGCGGAAACTTATCCAGCAAATGCTTCAGCAGGTCCAGAGACCAGGGCAAAAACGTCCCTTCAAGTCTAGCTCCCTGTCAGCTAACATTACCCAAAGCAGGCAGATAACTACTCAACCACGTACCCTTCTGGATGCTGTTCATCTGCTTCTCCGCGCGGATATAACTCGCTTGCCCCTAACTGTAGTAGCCGTCTATACAGCTTCCGGGATGCCCAGTTGAACCTGGTGTCCCTCCATTAGCCATCCGCCCAGCACAAACCACAAATGAATGAGCCCTACTTTGGATATGAACTATCTCCCAGCCCAAAGAGAACAAAACTGATCCCTTGTAAGAAGGTTGGAGGCAGTCTTTTGAGGAGCAGCGATCTCCAGAACTTGCGTCCGTTGGCAGGGAAATCTCCCTGTCCGGTAGTCGGCACTACAAAGACAGTAAACTGGTAACCGTATAGCTCTTTCTATAGCAATAGGCTCTTAGTTAGCCACATTATCTAGCCACGATAAAGAAAGGGAGAGAAACAAGAAAGCGCTTACGGGCTGCAAGGCATCGAGCTCAGCTACTTTGGTCCTGAAGTGAAGCCGCTCCGTCAAACGGCCGATCTCCTCTGCCACATCCTGAGAGTTGCCTGTCTCTGAGCCGTAGGCGATCAAAGCCGTCCGGAGAGAGCTATCTTTCTCCACGGTCGCCATCGAAACGGTCAAAGAAGGCCTCTTGTCTTCTCCAGCTCATGATGCGCAGCCTCTTAGTGGACTGAATAAAAAATCCTAAACAATGACTCTTTCTACCCTTTTGTGCTATAAAAACGAAAAAAGAGTCATGACATCACAGGAACCGCCAAGAGCGTCGCTTGTTTTTCTTCCCCTGGCGCAAAACACAAAACATCATCAAAAGCTGTCTGGCTGCTCCAGGAGAACAAGGTCGATGCAATGTACCTTTATGTATAGCAGTACAAGGAAAGGCGCTGGCGGTCGGATTATGGCGAAGATATCAAAGACCGTGTCTTTCTATTCCATGGATAGCATAACTAGTTACTATCCCTCAAAGCCCCTTCAATCATCCAATGATTGGTTACTATAGCCGGCATGGGAATTCCTCCTCGATGGACACTGAGAGAGGCCTGTGAAGATGAGACTCGCTATAAATACCCATTCATCCTCTGAGGCGTGGCATTCCTCAGCTTATACCATACTGTTTCTTATTGTAAAGACTATATTCCAACCGGCAGCGATTGTCCTTGCACTCAGCTTATTGCACACTCTATATAAAATGTCAGGTGGAATACAAATCGGATATGATGGCTGGACCGGTATTTCCGAAGACAGTGAGCATCACTATGCAAAGGAGAATTTTATCCGTTACATTTCCTTTGGAAGAATTATTGAAAAATGCTACAACCTCCGCGGCGGTATCTACTGTTTCCTCTCGAAGGAACATACATTTGGCTCGACCAGTTATTTTCGCCAGATAACATTCGAGGATGGCAAGAAATGGGTTGTTCGGATTCGATTTCCAGCTCCTACCGTGGGGAACGAAGACGCCAACGTCAAGATGTGTTACGAATCCATGAAATTTCTCAAGTATGTACGTTGTTACCTTTCCTGCTAACAAATGCTGAGACGGGTTTATAGGGAGCAGACAACAGTCCCTGTTCCAGAGGCTCATTACTGCGACGCCTCGCCAACCAACGCGGTAGGTGCCCCGTATATCTTAATGGATTATATCCACGGCACCCCAGCAGATGACCTCAGAGCGACCCTGAGATACGGGGAGAATGTATTCGGGACAACCAGGCAAAACATAGACTTCAGAAGACAGCTCGCTAAGATACAGGTGGAACTAGCAAGCAAGAAGTTTGATCGTATCGGACGTCCCAGCCCAGATGGCAACGGAGGGTATCATGTTGTATCTACACCCACAGAGTCGACTCATGGCTCCAGCGCCGAATTTTATAGGCGTCTAGCCTCATCTCTCCTGCAAGACGCATCAGAAAAAGGTGTGACGGTTTTTGACGAAATCTCGCTTTGCATCCCATCTCTGTTCGAAAGACTTGTTGCTCGATGGTCAACTCACCAGGGTCCATATGGCGTAGCACTTACTGGTCTTGGTGCGCATAACGTTCTTGTCAATAGAAACTTCGAGATTCAGGGCATTATTCATCCAGAAGGGTTAATAGCAGTGCCTCTCGAAATACAGGCCCAGATGCCTCTGTGTATGGGACTGCAGCCGTCTCCTCCTCACTCCCTTGCGAGCTCGGTCCAAGAACTAACGAGAATAACGCAGGAATGGGAGAGAGCCAGAGAGTATATCTCATACTTGAAGGAGGCAGATATAGCTCATTACGCCGAGACTCTGCGGGATGCTGATGATGCTCCACTGCACAGCGCAGTACTAGCTCCAGCAGCGGTTATATACCAGGGATTGGTCGAGTACAGGAATTTTCGTGAATTAATCGACCATAAGTGGCTGATTGCGTATGCTAACCTGTTGCGATAGAATGGACTGCCTTGAATTCATGGCCAGATCTCCTTTCTATCAACTACGTTTTTTTGACGCAGGATCAATGAAATTGATTTATTGGTGGCATGATTATAGTGATCGCAACTCAAATCTCAAAGCGTAGAATAATCAATTGGGGTACTGTCTAGATGAAATAAATACAGATATGCCTATTTTTGTTGACTCCTTGCTTTTGGTCCGCTAAATCGTATAAATGGGTATCATGTCGGAAGATGCAAAAAATGGGATAAAAAAGGAGAGGACAAAATATGGGAATGCGCTTCAGTAAACATCGTTATCATCTCCACCGCCTTCATCGAACCCGTCTCCAAGCTCATCACCTCCATCGAAGTATTGTTCGGCATTATAATCACCACCCATCTCTTCCTCATCTTCCTCAAAATCATCGTCAACTATCTCGTCCTCAGCATCATCCTCGTCATCGTCTAGTGCGTCTTCGCCTTCACGCGCACTTGTCCGTTGTCTACCGCCCGAGTCGGACCCTTCTTCATCCTCGTCACCCTGATTCCGTTTCTTGCGCCGGCCCTCATCCTCTTCATCTTCGTCCTCGTCTTCCTCGAATCCTCGCTTATGCGTGGCCTTGGAGAACCCACCACCATTCGCAAACGTCCCCGGTAAGCCGACGTATTTTGGATCAAGTGTTGACCATAGCTCCTTTGGGAAAAAGTTCATCTCTACATAGTTGTAACGACCTATTAGTATAACCTCACTCATCGATTCCTAGAGCTATGTCTAGTGATGCGGGGTATAGGAGTGTATTACCGAACGGTACAGCACTTAATTTTGGCAATGTTCTCGACTTCTTCATATATCTCTGTCCATAAGATGCCATTCCCTGGAAAGGGTCAAACTGGGCACGAGCTGGGGCGCCTTTTTTCCCGTATGACGGCTGGGAGGCAAGCACGGTATAAAACGGTCCATCGTGGATTTTCTCTCGCAATTGACGATATAGCTGTATTCTTGATATTTCTGAGTCGGTAAATGTGGCGGGAACAGGTACAGTATATTTCTGTTAAATAATTAAGTCATGTTAGTATGCGCGTAAATGACTTCCAATCACAAACGTAAACGACAATTGGTGTATTACAGGAAATAATGGTGTTGGCGATGTGTCTACTTCGCCGCCACCCTCTGACTTCCAGGCAAACTCGGCTCCGGGCGCCTTTTTATTGCGTGCAGCTCGAGACATCGTTGAGCTACGTAGGAGTCACACACTGTTGACTTGTTTGAGTGCCGAAGTTGTTGAAGTTTGTATCAATTTTGACAGCTTTGAGCCTCAAACCGATCACGTGATATGATTTGGGCCCAAGATGGTTTGTAGACGGAGATGGAGATGATATTTAGTCGGGAGTAGATATGATTATAATAATGGAGTAATCAGGGAAATAATAGTAAGTCTATTATGGCTTGAGACTTGGCGTCAAATATGTACATATACACAGCTAAAGGTGTAAGCGTGATGTCCTCTTTCATAGTTCGAGTGCTTCAATCCTGCTTCCAATTTGGTTTGGAGCACCCATGGGCCCCTCTGCTACCCTTCTCTTTAAGGTTCGTTTAATATCATCAAGGCTTCCAGTAGAGCTCTCCATTTTTTGAACGGCCGTCTGAAGGGCGACAAGGGCATCATATTTTGTAGTGGCAATCCGCCATACAGCACTCTCGGTGTCTCCAGCCCCCCCGGCAACGAAATTAGCGTAGGATGGGGGCTGCTTAAAAAGGTATGGTAAAACAACGGTCAAGGCTGGTGGGACAAGTAATGCCCATGTTCCACTGACAGGGAGACTCCCTTGTGCAGAGGGACCAAGTTGGCTAACCACAGCCTCCGTTGGTAGTACAAACCGACTTGAAGTCAATGCACTTGCATCATCAGCTGAGGAGAGAACAGCCCAGTTGGCTGTCACAACGCTCTTCATCAGGTTTATAGATGCTATTGCGGTATCTTGCATAGCTATTATCTCTGCAGCGTCGATAATATTTGACCAGAAGCTGGGGTGGCTGTTCAGATACTGGAAGTAGAGGACCCTTGAGGCTGCCGCCTCAGCACGGGAGCTTGTGGGGTTTGGGCCTTTGATAACCACCTGTTCTATATCCATTGCGTCTTCAGAGGGTGGTGGCCCATGAAATATCTTCCCCAGGCACATCAGTGTCTCAATATGTAAGGGTTTGGACGGAATAGCAAGTAGCGGGTTCAGGCCTCTTTTGCCGGATTCAACTAACATTACTCGTGGTAGGGAAGCTAAGATATCGAGGTCTCCCACTGGCACAGCGCCATGGGCCCACTGTGCAGAAGGAATATTGAATGCCTCGAGTATGCGAGAGCATAGCCGATCCAGTTGTTCCTGGTGTTCTTGTAGTATGTGGTTTGGGTAGAGGGCTGCATAGGCAGAAACATATGCCATTACAGGGGCTGCAAGAAAGCTTGCAGTGGCAGCGTCAAGAGTGGAAGGATCCAAATAGTAATTGATAACCTTCCTATGTAGGCCATTGGTTATGAGAAACTCCAGTGATGGAGATGAGAACGCAGGGATTGGGCTAGATGTCTTGCCAAAACTGTGATGCAGTCCAGGAGCATTAATTTCAAGCAGCTGTCGAAAAAATTGTAGGAGAGTCATGTGGAGTAGGAGGTCATTCGTGTCAACCATCTGAAGAGCGGCAAAGCTCAACAAGCTCTCGCTCTGGAAGGATGATTCAACATCAGGGAAATGCGAGTTTGATATAGCTCCCCAGTTGGCAGATCCAACTTTGACAACGAACTCCATCAATCTCCCCTGAGCAACCGTCTTTTGTCGAGCGCTGATCTGTCCATCTTGTCCTACCGTGCGCAGGGAACATATCGAAAAGAAGAGTTTATAGGTCGATTTGTCCTGAAATATTCTCTGCCACATCGGCCCATTCTGCGGATATTCATTATTGGATCTCCCATGTGTGTTATTTGAAACTAAGTGGTCCGCCTCCAGCAGAGACCAGAGCACATCAAAAGTTGCCTGTGATACCCCAGAGTCATCGGACGATAGCCACAGCTCTATAAGAGATCTGACTAGATCTGCGTTTCCAGCAACATCGGCAACATGGCTTGGGGACTCGCTTGCTTTTGCGAGCAGACAAAGTACGAGGGAGTTGATCGGGGGGTAACCGGCCCTGATTCCAGCAATGAAATCGATGGGGGGATCGATTGACAGAAGTTCTGAAAAGCTTAGAAACCTGGCAACTTTTGTTGCCAGAGCTGTGATGGGGCTTGGATCCTCCTGCAGCACCGGAAGGACGCGGGATATCAGAGTAATCAGCTTCTTGGAGAGATCGTGGTCTGTCTGAGCCACCACCTCAGCTCCTAGCTTGTCGATGATGTGAACATCGAGTGAAGTCGACGGGTCTGTAAGGATCTGCTCTAGGTTATTTGTCACCTGGTCAAAAGATATCGGCTTGCTCATGGCGTTCGTCCTCTTTCGCTGCGCTATCAATAAGTCTGTTACTTACACTGGGATGTTGTCGACGTCGTTGTTCTTCGTCTCTTTAAGCTGCTTCGACCCCACAAAGACAAACAAAGCAAACGCCAAGACTTTGCTTATCGAGCTCTATTTTATCTTCTATCAACAAGCAACGTCAATCAAATATCAAAGTGACAACTATCTAGTTAGCTACTACAGGGCCAAACTTGATTAACGCCCCTTACTTCCTACATTGACTGCTGAAAGCGCTGGGTCATTATGGCCGAGGTATCTAATACCCTGATATCCTCCAAATCCTCACACTCCAGCCTCCAGGCTCTGTTACATCCCCTCGTCCTGCTAAATATCTCCGACCACATCACACGGCATACGGTTCGACAGCAGAAAGGCCTGATAGTTGGTGCGATACTCGGACAACAGAATGGCAGGTCCATTACCCTAGAGCATGTATTTGATTGCAACTTGGTCACCTCGGCGAGTGGGGAAGTGCTCCTACACCAAGCATTCTTCAATGAACGATTACAGCAATGTAAGCTCCCTTTCAAGCTAATAACGATGCTCTGTCTATACGGACGCCTTTGCTTACCTTATCTCAATAGTCAAGGACGTTCATAAATCACCAGCTTTAGATCTGGTTGGCTGGTTTACCGTCACACCTCCCTCTGGACCGCTACCCTCGCAGGTTTCCATACACGAGCAGATACTCCGCGACTATAACGAAGCTGCTATTCTTCTTGCATTCCACTCCTCAGATGTCGAAAACACGTCTTCGACAGTTGGGAAACTTCCCATATCCGTCTACGAATCGGTCTATGAAGGAGATACTGCTGATGACGGAGATCGACCGATGCAAGGAGATGACCAACACAGAACTTTGACATTGAAGTTTAGGCCTGTGCCATATTCAATCGAGACAGGAGAAGCTGAGATGATAAGTGTTGACTCGATTGCTACTGGAGGTGGTAATGCAACTGCAATCCTGGACAAGGAGCCGAGCAAGTCAAAGACCGAGTCCCTGGCCCAGGATAAAGAGAAACGACAGAAGATATCAGAACCTACTGAAGACCTCGTTCTTTCGCCCGAAGATGAAGACTGTAAGTACTATGCATAAGTTACACGTTATGAAGAGCTGCTGATGTGATATAGTGATTGCAAATCTTACAACAAGACTGAGTGCTGTTAAAACCCTCCAGTCTCGCATACACCTCATAAAATGCTATCTTCAGTCAATTGAAGAATCCTCCAGAACTGATACCTCCGTGGCACCACAATCCCCCCCAAAGCCAACCCTTTCTCATTCCCTTCTTCGCAGTATCTACTGCGTTATCTCTCACCTTGCTCTGCTAAACCCTCAAAGCTCAAATGCGTTCTCAGTACAGTCCCTAGCCCAGGCGAATGATGTCCTACTTACCGCCTTACTGGGATCCATGGGGCAGAGTATTCATCAGATGCGGGAATTAGGAAAGAAATTCGCTGTTACTGAATCGGCAGGGCGCAACAACAGCAAGGAACCTCAACTTTCTAGCCGTATGAGCGGGGACTTGTTCCATCCCTAAAAGGTAACACCTATGAAGACTGAAATCCGAAAATGAATGCTTCCACTTGGGGGTTTAGAGCATACAAAAGGCCGCTTCTCCGGGAATAATAGATGCTGAATATGATATGATTGAAACGATAGCGTATGATATGATTTTTATTTTCTTGAACTGGGCTAGATACAGCACAAGGATGCCTAGCTGCTGTCAGAAAAGCTATACCAAACATAGAATGCAACAAAGGCAGATCCAACAAGCCAGTCCACTTCATTTCCGAAGTAATAAGACCAATAGATAGTCAACGTAGTAAATTTAGCATTTTTCCTCCTTTGTGAAAAGGCTGTATTTTATCCCTTGTAACCGCCCTTCCATGTAAACACCATTTAAAACCAGGGTTGAAAGTTACCGGTAGAAATAAATACTAAAACAGCGAAAGGAAAGATAAGGGAAATGGGAATGGGACGCCAGAAGGTTGGCCATTGATGGTTGATTTCACCTGGGGTAAATCCGGTGTCATCCGGCAGGAGAATGCGTGTGAAAGGGGGAATGAAACAAAATCCGTGGTTATGCAAGAGACGAAGGAAAAATTAAGGATAACAATGAGAGAAGGCGAAAAATTAGATAGATTTTCGTTCTAACTTATCTTCTACCCCTCCAGGGGCCGTCTCTCCAGCTGCTCCCCCAATCTCCACCACGCCCACCACGTCCGCCTCCCCTTCCTCGACCGCCGCGGCGAGGACCATATTCTGGTCCTTGGACGACGAACTGATCGGTGTCTTCAAATGTATATCTGAACATCTCGTCTCCGCCTCGTTTCGATACCGGGCCAGCCCTGGCTAGATCGTCAAATTGATCGAGACGTTTGTCTGATACCTCTCGGGATACAGGTAGGTAGTACAACTTCGGCTTTGCAACGGTAGAAAGGAATCTGTCGTCAAGAGCCTTGAATCCGTGTTCTGGCATTTTGCTACTAGGTGTACCAGTCTGTTGACTTCCTTGGCGGCCTCCAGGGCCCATCCTATCTGCTCGAGGGCCAGTTGGTGGTTCTCGTCCAAAACCCTGACCCGAGTCGTATGGGCGGGGTGGTCCGCTGGTGATTGACGAGGCTTCCTGCAGTTTTGCTTTTATACCATCCTCAGTCTCGTCATAGGCAACTTCCCAACGAGGACCTCCCCTGCCGCTGTTCCCGGGCGCCTGTTCTATTTCTATCCATTCCTTCACTTTTTCTTCTGGAATGAAGTCAGCCCATAGTGGTTTGCGGGTACGTTCTTCCGGCCAGATAGCGTCGTGCAATGCGGCTCGAACCCGAGAAGCCGCTGCAATGCTTGTGAAGCTAGCAAAACAGTGGGTTTTGATGGAATCCAGGAAGAAATCAACGATAACGTCAGGGTCTGGAGATGAATTTGGTGGTACAGCAAGAGAGCATAGGTGTCGTTTTAATGCTGCAGGTTGCAGCGGCCGCATGAAATCACGGATATATAGAGCGGCGGTGGCTGGATGTAAAGCAGGGGATACCATACGGTCATCGCCTTCAGCGGGGGGAGGTGACTCGGCCCGCAAGGGAGCCCCATTTGTGGCAGGAAACAGATCCTTGAAACGCGCATCGCCAGCAGGTTTCCTTTGCCCATGTTGCTTTTCATTCTTCTCCGAAGATTCCTCTTGGCCTACTGCTTCAGTTTCTGCCTGTTCCTTAGCCTCATTCTCTTCAGTCTCTCGTTTCGGCTCCGGCGCAGGAGGTGTACTCTCTTTCATTTCCACATCCGTATCTTGAGCGGGCGGTTCTGCAGTTACCGGTGCCGTGGCAGGAGCCTCATCTTCATTTAACTTGTGCCCCTCGGTTTTGATTTCTTCCTGCGGTGGCCAAGATTGTTGCTGCTCCACTTCAATTCTTGCTTTCTTTAGCGCGATGCTCCTGGGAGATGGAGGAGGGGTCTGGCTTCGGCGTTTCCGTTTCCTTGATTCATCCGTATCTTCTTTTATGGCCTCAACGTCCGCGGAGGAAGACTTATTCGCGCTTTCGTCCTGAACGGGCTGTTGGGTGGGTTCTTGGGTAGGTTCTTGGACGGGTTCTTGGACGGATTCTTTGACAGGTTCTTGGATGGGTTCAGGTGCGGGAGCAGGAGCAGGAACAGCTTGCGCAGGAGTAATATCTTCCACCACCAATTCTGTCACGGGAGCTGGCTCAGCTTCCGCCACCGCAGGTTTCGGCGTAGGTACGGGTGCTTGGGCAACGGAAGGAGCTGGTACAGGTTCAATAAGCTGCGAAATGCTTGTAACCTTTTGCGAGGTGACAGGCGCAGGCGCAGCTTCAGGTATAACTGCCTGCTGTATCTCGGTGGCCAAAACTTGTTGTACAGGAGCTTGTTCTACAGGGTCCGGTGGTAATTGTGCCGGTTGGGGTACTGGAGCTTTAGGGGGTTCGGGCGCTGGCTCTTGGTATACTGGATTTGTCACTTGCGGTGCTGGTGCTGGTGTGGGCGCAGGCTCAACTGGCTCTGCTGGTGTTTCAGATTGGGCGGCAGCGCGTTCATTATCATCCTGTATAAGCCGGTCGATAAAATTTTGCTTCACTCGTAGTCCTGTCTGCGGGATACCGCGCTTCTTCAGTTCAGCTTTCAGGTCAGTGACCTTCAAGCTTGCATAGTCCATCACTGCGGTAGGAGTTATGACGCGACTGGCGAGGGCACAGGGATGACGGAAGAGAGTCACTTAGAAGCCGCACATGGCCTAGCCGGTGTAATTGTATGGTAAGACACTCCGTTCCTAAACCCGAGTCCTGACTGCGAGATTGAAGGGATGCTTCGATAGGTTGTTGTCTTTGTCTTGTCTTTTGTCTCTTAGTTTTCGAGATCTAACTGAAAGCTTTCGTTTGCTTCAGTTTTTGTTTTTCCAAGGTCACGTGATCAAGTTTATTCGCCTCTTGAGAAGCAGAGGCAGAAGCAGAAGAGGACGACAGCGAGGTTGGAGAGGATGCATACAATAATGAATGAGGTTAATCAGCTATTAGACGACATATCATACATGGCGGGTCGGAGTCAGACGTGGTCAAAATCACTCCCCAAGGCAAAGAGGGTGTAAAATAGTTAGATATCAGATCAAACAAAACATGGAGCATATCCGCCAATACATGAACCAAAAATGAAGAGATTGTTAAAGAGTATGTACAGCCGAGTGGAAAGGGTAGATGGGATACGGTAGGTTCTTTTGTGTCGGATGTCTAGATCCTATGCAAGATGAGCTTTTTGAAGAGACGAAGGCAGCGAAGGAAAATGGCAGATGCCATCTATTTTGTTCGCTCGCCCCAGATGCCAATGACGCCCATGGAAAAACCGATGCCAAGAAGGTAGGTCCTGAGCATATGGAGGTTGCGTTCTTTCTTCATGGACACTGCGACGGATTCTCCGTTGACTTCGGCCACTGAGCTTGCTGGTGTGGGTTTTTCGGTCGAGCGGGAGGTTCCCATGGACTCAGCCTCCGATGGAGGTTCGACAAGCTCAATTTCACTTGAGGCCGCAAGTGAGTCCTCGTCTTCTGGCTTCTTTTCGGTGGCGGCTGGCTTAGGCGCAGATCCGAAGAAACGGTTCAAGACAGACTTAACACAGCAGCACGAGGAACGAGGCTCGCCAGATGTAGAGACACCGCATAGCGATGATAGATAAGAGCTGCAGGTATTGGTGCGAGGGCTTTCGGTGCCTTGGATGAAAGATGGGTGGTTGGTATATAGCTCTAATCCAAGGCCACTAAGGAGAGAGAATGCGCTGGTCCAGAGGAGATAAGGGTGTCGTCGACGAGGAGAAGAGAGACTGAATGCTGTGAGGAGAGTGATGACAGTAATATGCGAAAGGGTCAGGGCAGTTCTGCGAGCCTGATACTGGATATCAGTCAAGGCCTGGGCGGCGACTGAAGCTGTGGGAAGGGCTTGAAGAGCTGGTAGAGTAATAGACGACATTGAGTATGAAAGACCCTACACTAATGTTAGTCAACCGCATCGTTTTTATTATCTGTTCTGCATGGCACGTACGGTAGATATGCCAATTGAGACCATGCCAACAAATTTGGCAACCGTAATCGGACAGGCCATGACGTTTGTCAGAGCTATGGCTCAGTAAGTGCCTCGTACGGTAGCGAAGAGTTGCAGCTCGAGAGACGAGCTATCGGCGTCCCTGCTGGCGCACAGTGTATCGGTTCCCTAGCCGCAAATTTGGGAGTATCTGGTGAATTGGCAACTTCTGGAGTTGGAGATTTGTTTGAAAGCCTCAAATGGAGATGGTTTTTTGAAGCTCAAGAAAGGCCGGAAAAACATCGGAAGATCGACGGGATGACACAATTACCAGTTAAACCTATTATGTAATAGTCGCCCAGCTCGCGCTTAACGAGGATGGAGAGAAGCTGGAGGTACGGATAAGAGAGATCTCAATTAGGGTGATGGTAGAGAATAACGGTATATGCCTTCTACGGTGCAGCCGTTGTTACTAGAGGAAGATGTCAGTAGATCTGCTCATATAGTTACCAAGCCGCGAACACCAAGGCTCCTCAACACCCACACCATTGTATCTTATTCATGGCTATCAGAGTACATCGCTGAGATGCTTGACCCTATTTTTTGCTGCTTATCTAGATGGAATTTCATATGTTGATACTCCGTACGGAGTTTTTGCTTGCGTGTTGGCCGTAGAAAAATAAGCCGAGGCTCGCATGTCTTGGCATCAACACGGCTTAAAAGTAGCCATCAAGTATCACCATAAGTTACCGGCTTTCTTTTGATGTTTTGTAGGTTAAACAGACGACAGTTTACCCCAGATTCCAGCAGTAGAAAAGGTTTTGAGACGGTAGTGACCTTTTGAATCAACCCAAGATGCCGATGCCAAAGTCTTCTTATATGAGTGACGTCTGGAGGGACGGCATATTCGGTAAGTTGTTTGGACAATTATCCTTGCTGAAGAAACATGCCATCAAGCTAATGTGTTGGTAGATAACAAGGTTATTTTCTGTACTGGCGGCGCTGGCACAATATGCAGTGCCCAGGTTCGTGCTATGGTCCATCTGGGTGCAAATGCATGCATTGTTGGCCGCAATGTTGAGAAGACGGAGAGTATGGCCAAGGACATTGCCACGGCTCGCAAGGGTTCTAAGGTGCTTGGAATTGGATCGGTCGATGTTCGCAACTTTGAGAGTCTCAAGAAGGCTGTAGATCGATGTGTGGAGGAGCTGGGAGCTATCGACTTTGTCATGTATTGACCTTCCTTTGCTTTTCAAACTATATGAGTGTTGTTCTAACTTGGTTTGATAGTGCTGGAGCAGCAGGAAACTTCTTAGCATCGATCAATCAGCTGTCTACCAATGCTTTCAAAGCGGTGATGGATATTGACGTGCTGGGCTCTTTCAACACATTGAAAGCAACGATACCTCATCTGGTCGACTCGGCTGTGAAGCATAAGTCAGATGGAGCCGCTCGTAAGTCTTTGTTTTGCTCTAGTAGGAAAAAGAGGGAAGAGAAGCTGATTATCAATTTGATAAAGCATCACCAACCGGGACCGGTGGCAGGATCATCTTTGTCAGTGCCACTATCCACTATACCGGCATGCCTATGCAGACACATGTTTCTGTTGCAAAGGCGGGTGTAGATGCGCTATCAAACAGTGTGGCCATCGAATTTGGTCCTGTAGGAGTGACGTCCAATGTTATCAGCCCTGGCCCAATTGGGGAGACAGAGGTATAGCAAGCTTACCTTGAAAGTATAGATATAGTATTGTATGCTGACGACATCCCAAGGGTATGAAACGACTTGCTACGGAAGATGCAAAGAAAACTACCGAGGCTGCCATCCCGCTCGGCCGCTATGGCTCTGTCAAAGAGATTGCAGATGCAACTGTCTACATCTTCTCGGACTCGGGGAACTATGTCAATGCTTCTACCGTTGTTGGTAAGTGTCCTCTATACGGCTCCGTACTGCTCATATTCAATATGGCTGACCAATGTTTGATAGTTGACGGGGGAGCGTGGCGCTTGCAGGCTGCTGGAATATCAGGCAGCGGTTTCTCCTATCCTGACTTCCTCCTCTCTGGTATGGAAGTCACAGGTGTCGCAGGGCAGAAGCAGAAGGCAAAGATTTGACCTGTAGCTTTACGTAGTTGCTATTTCTTTTTCATCTCCTGTCATTCTATATCTGTTCCTAGCTATCTTCTGTAACTATCTAGCCAATGTTGTGTCTTTGATATTGACCTTTGTAGTCTCTCCCCTCAGTCCTTTCTTTAGCCTGTAATAACATATCAGCCAATACCTAATCAAACGTCTTTACCGTTTGATCTGGAAGCTTCCTGTAAGATTGATCCAGCGCCTTCTTTGTCTGCTTGCCTTCCAGTCTCTATAGCAACCTGTCAAAGGCCCCACTTTTTTGATATCTTACAGGACATAAAAATGCGTCTGGATCAAACAAAGCATTGTTTAATCAAACGGTATTTACCAGCAGTACTAGCTTGCCTTTGGATCAAACCACTGCAATACAATGTCCTGTAGAGAGCCATAACTTCTCCACTGCATAGCTTTGTTTTCTTGTACTTTGCTTTGCTTTGGATTTCTTTACCACAGGCTGAGAAAATTATATCCAGCCTTTGACTGGGGAAAAGTGCAAGCCACGTGACCTGTCCCAAAACGGCTGTTTCAACGTCAAGCCATAAAGAAGGCAGAACAAGAAGAGGAGATTGGCTGCTTTTGTAGTTGTAGAAAAACGGTAGGATGGATGGATATTAGTATATAAGGGGTGTTGGCAGTCTGATGGAAAGGTAGAGAATGACATATAGATGGAGGGCGTACATCTATATAGCAAAGAGCAGCCTCTATATCGGAGATATAGGAGCTGCTTATCAGGGGTATCTATATGGATATGATATGACTGTTGACGCAGAGAACCAGACAACCAAGCTCGAGGCATATATCACGGGTATATATAGAAGACAGAAACAAGAAAGATGGCCTGGCCTAGCAGCTCCAGTCGGCACTTGGAGTCCAGTACAGGTACGTTACCAAATACCCTGACAGGACAGCAGAGCAGGACAGCGTCAGGGCAGCGTATCAAACTGGTACCGCGCTAGCAAACTCGTTAGCAGGACAGATTTGAATCACACTGAGAGGGAGTGATCTCGTTGCCCTGGACGCCCGGCCTTGTTTTGGTGCAATATAAAAATCCTTTCCTTCACCCTCCCCCCTTTTCTCTCTCCTTCCTTCTTTCTCGACTCACAGTAACATCAAGTCAACCATCCACCACACAGTGTTCGCAGATAGCTTTTTACGCTCAGTAACCATCTCAGTCACCATTCTCAGCCATATATCTCGCTTGAACCTGTGACCTCTTCTCTCGATCCTTTCGTTGCCAGCCAAAGACTCGTTTGTCGAATCTCTACCACCACCACCACCACCTAGAAGCTCCTCGATAGCTTCGAGTTCGACAACGATCAGCGAAAGATCACCTCTCCGTCTTCGTTTTCAGGCTTGATCACCGCCAATTCTCTTCGTGAATCAGCCAATACCACCATCATTCCGAAGAAATCAACCTGAACGTCGACGTTCTTCTCCAGTCTCACGGGAATCTCACCACCGTTCGAGACGAATCCAACCTCGCCAAAAACAACATTCGCCGCTTGAGCTAGAATCCCTTCATCACACAGGGGGTTCTTGTGCTCGCAGTCTTCAATTTTCGTCAGTCCGATCGCAGCTGTAGAGCTCGATCGTTCGCGTAGCCTCGCTTCATTCCCAGAACAGTCACGTCAAAGGCTGGTTCTACCCTTCCTCCGTCAACTCCTTAAGCAAACCGGTCAATTTCACCAGCTTAAGCAAAGGGAAAGCAATGGCTCCTGTTCAGCAAAAGGACGCCAAACTGAGCGCCGGACAGAAATCACAACTGTCCACTGGCAAACGCCCTGACATCATCGGGGATGCGAATGTTGCCGTTCCGACTCTGACTCCGGAACACAAAGCCCAGGGTCAATCCGATTTGTACAAATCGAAGTGGGCGTCCCCAGTAGACGAGTACCAGTCCACCTGGGAAAGCATGCTGGCGGCCAAAGGGGGGCTGTCTGCCAGTCAAATCACACAGGCAGCAGTACCTGCAGCCACGTCGGGGTCCAAAAGACAAACACCAACCCCGACAGACAAGGCCACTGCAGGGAAGCAGGAGTCGAAAGGCAAGCAACGGGCTACCGCCCAGCAGCCTACGACTTCCCCCCAGAAAACCGACCGGGCGGACGACGGCCACAGCAAACCTTCTCAGAAGGGTTCGTTGGGCAAGACTCTCAGCGCCAATCCACCGAAACCCGCCAGCAACGCCAACAGCAACATGGCAGTAGGTGAAGGCCCTTCGGACAGCCGTCGTCCGCCGCCTGTTATGAGCCAACGGGCCAAACAAACCGCCACTCCTCCGGCTGTCGATACTGACAACGAGGCCAGCACCGAGGCCACCAAGAAGAGACGCCGTCGAGGACGTGGCCGAGGGGGCAAGAAAGACAACAACACCGAGGCTTCCGTATCAGCCAGTGCCCCCTCGACAACCAGCCAAAGTACCTTCCAGCCAAGTCCAGCAAAGGGAAACGGCGCCAAAGAGTCTGCTGCTGGTGGTGCCGACAAGAAACAAACCAGCAAGCCATCGACAACCACAGCCAGTGCACCACCAAAGACGCCAGCAGCACCATCATCAGCAACATCTGCTGGCGCAGCTAGAAAAGCAGCAGACTCAAAACTTGCACAGCCAGCGTTGACTCTACCCCCTGCTCAGCCAAAACAACAACTGCAGCAGCCACAGCCAAAGCAACAGCAACCGCAACCACAGAAGCTGCATCAGCAGGGGGGAGTCAGAGGGAACGGACAACAAGCACCTCAACACCCAGGTGCTGCGAAGGGCAGCTTGGCCACACCAGCACAACCACAACTATCCGCAGCCACCGCCGCTGCGAGTAAGCCCAAGCCAGCCGCCGCCGCCAATGTTCCCAGAGTCAACGAGACCACTGGCAATGACCGTAAGGTCGCCGGGACGCCAGCTACCACTCAGCGTCCCGCCGTGCAAGCTCCTCGCTTCGGTCCTCCAGCATCCGCTGCAGGCGCCGCGGCCAGCAGGGTCGCGGAAAGAAGCATGGCTGTGCAGAGACCCGCAACCGGGCCAGTCGGTTTTGCGGTGACTGCACAGAACTCACCCGTTCAGCTCGGCTGGTCACCGAACATGATGGGTGACTCCCGTGCCCGGAGGTCCGGGGTCATGCCCCGTCTCGCACCTGGTTGGGAAGGGTATCAGGACAGAATCAACGTGTCTGGGGCGATCCAAGACATTTACCTGTATGCTGGAGACAGGTTGGACGTTGAGAAGTTCAATGCCTACGTTGCAAGCCCCTGCCATTCGGTAGAAGCAAAGGCCAACTGTCTTAAGGACATTGTCGTTACCATGGACCGAGTGGTGTCGGAGAAGCACGCCTCGGCCATGTCCATCAAAGCGGAACGTGACGCCTTCCGCGACGACTACGACCGGGCTAAAGCGCAAGCCGACGAGTACGCTGAGAGGCTCGCGGCTGAGCAGCTGCAACGCGAGCAGCTGGAACAGCAGATCCTCGACCTGAGCCATTCCGTGGCCGGTCTCCGCAAGGAGGTCGTTACAAAGGAGAGTCATCTTGACTCTGCCGAGGTGGAGATTCTCCGCCTCAAAGACGATCTGGCTGCGAAGCATAACATGCTCGAGAAAGCCGTCTCGAAACACGCAGCTCAGGCTGCTGAGACGGCATCCCACCAGGAACAGGCGGCTTCTCTCCACGGCGAGGTGGAGAAGCTGTCTGGCGAGCTCAGTGGCCTCCGGGCCAAATACACCCTTGCCGACTCGGAACGCAAGGCGTTGGCGGAGGAGATTGCCAAAAGCCCGTTGCAGAGCGAGAACGAGCAACTCCGGTCCCAACTTTCCGAAGTTCGGGAGCGGCTCGACTCTGCGAACCAGGTACGCGATGACCTGGAGGCTGAGCGTGCAGCTCACATCTGCTGCCAGCCTGTGGAGAGTGGCACTCCAACCTCTGTCACGTTGAGCATGGAGTTGGAAGGGTGGGGGGTTGGACAGGACTCCCGCTCTCTGACGGACGAAGAGGATGGCGGACACCCAAGATACCGTCAGTCGTCCCTGCCAGCATCAAGTGCTTCTCTGTACGGTGGTGGCAACGCCGTCTCTACGTCTACCCAGACCGACGAGGTGGAAGTCATTGAGACTTTCACACAGACTGAGGAGGAGCCGGTCGTCTCACTCTTCGAGGCGTCTACCCAGACTGTCTCCACGGAGGTTGTTTCAGCCTCCACCCAGACAGCCCCTGTGGAAGGCGTCAAGATGAGCGAGTCTTCCGCCCAAACGGCCTTGACCGGCGATGTTCTATCCCCGGCCGAGGTGGAAGCGAGAGTTGCAGGCGTCCGTCAGGAGGCGCGACAAACAACGGATGCTCTGGTGCAGACAGACATGGTGGCCGAAGTCCCTCGACGCAGAGACGTGTGGCTGTGGATCTTCCTCGCCCTGCTCTTGTTTACCTGGGCGGCACTCATACTGTGGAGCAGACTCAGCGGTATACACGCTTGGGAGGTTGCCAACGACATGTCTCGTGCCTCTGTCGCTGGTATTCGTTCCCAGCGTGCATTCCCCTGGTCTCTCATGTCTGAGAAGAGTTACTTCTCGGTCGTTCGGCACTCAAATAGAGTCTTCCCAGGCTAAATGAAAGAATGATGGGGGAGTCGGTCAAAGGAATCATCCATCAGTGCCCGTCAAAAACCTCACTTGATGCTCTCACTCCCTTTCCGGCAATGATCCTTGACTTGAAAACAACGATAACAACAACAACAGCCTGCGTCCTGTCCTGCCTCCGGGAGTCGATAGGCAGTTGGAGGAAGTAAGTGGTCCGTCAGCATTTCCCGCCCTTTTCGAAGGCCGCTTGGGTGTGTTGACGGAGTTCAGATATCAATGTCCCCCCATGTTCACTCTCTTCCGCCCCGTTTTACTGTAGGGCGTCTTTCCCATCCTTCGGGATAGGGTGGATGCCCACGATACCATTATGTCACCCTCTCATTCTCTCTTTCTTTCTCTCCTTTACTTCCGCTTCCTCCCTGCCTCTCCCTGTGCTGACACTTGATATAAGATATACGATCTCTGGTGAGATGGAGTGTGGTTGATGCGTGTTTGGGTGTTAACACGTCATCTTCTGCATGTCCATAGGACTTTCAATGCTTCTCTTGGTATCCTGGTCTCTTCCTGTCTCTTTTCCTATCTTTCTCTTTCTCTTCCTTCTCTGTCTTTTCTTCCTTCTTGATGACTTGACGTTGACATGTACACGTGACAACTGACTAAGCAACACGCGGCATTACGTCATCCCCTTGTCTCTTTTTTGCTTTTTCTCTTTTTCTTTTCTTTTTACTCTTTTTACTCTTTTTACTACGAATTAACACGCGAGGTACGACTCCTTTAGCTGCTCTTTGCTCCTTTACCCTTACCCCTTTACTCCTGATCCTTGCTCTTTGCCTTACGGAGTATGTTATATTCTGTCTTATGCTCTGTCTATGTTGACCCCTGCTGACTCTTATCAACTGCTCGTCTTCCAGAAGCCATCGAAGTACTCTGTAAGTGTCTCTTCTTCTGCCTGTGCAAGGGAGTGTCTCGCGCTAACCGCTTCTGTCCTAGCTCTCGGGCCTCGTTTCTTGTTTCAACTTCTCGACTTTCGCCGTCTTCGTCTTCGTCTCTTTCTCTCTCTTTACTTACTTCGGCCACCTCGACCTCTTCAGCTGCGACTTCGACCTCAGCTACTTCGGCCTCTTCGTGACACTCGTTTATTCCGGATCTCTTGACGCTTCTCTTTTTTTTCCTTCTGTTTCTACTTCCCGCTTCTTTTACTATCCAGATATTTTGCCCCCCACCATGCTCGCGAAGTTCGTCGCGACCTCTCTCCTGGCGCTGCAAGGCGCAGCCGCTTTCCTTATCGTGCCCGAGATTGACATCCCCCATGCCACTACCACCACCAAGAAGACTGCCGGCGACGCGCCCAAGCTGACCATCGCTGCCAACTGCGCCAAATGCCCGTTCCCAGACACCCTTGATGCCTCGTCTGAGGTCTCGGCCGTGGATAGCTTCATGGTTCGCTCTCTCTCTCCCCCCATGCATGTTTTTGCCTCCCAGGTGCCCGATAAGCGCTAACTTGTCCACCCCCAGCTCTTCGACCTCACCACCGATGCCGGCAAGCTGTACATCAACGAGAAGGAAGTCTACCCGTCTCCTGACGCCTCGGTCGACCTCCAAACCATCCTTGTCCGCAAGTCAGACGAGCAGCGCAGTCGAAACGTCCCCGCCGGCTATGTCTTTGAAGTGCTCCGAACCCCTGACTCTCCCAGTGACCCGGAGGGCCCTGAACTCCTCTCTCTCTACTTCACTCCCGTCCAGCTAGACGGTCTTCCGGCTGCCGCAGACACTCTCCACATCCCCGTCATCAAAACCGCCAGGGGCAACCTCGTCATCGTCAACTCTCGCATCGAAGCCACCCCGGCCCCTCACATCTCATGCAAAGACTGCGGCCGCGATACTGAGTGCTGGAAACGCCTTCTCCTCGCTAGAATCGCCGCAACCATCAACGCTGCAAAGATCCGAGCTGCCAAGTTCGTCGACAAAATCTCATCTGCCTTCAAGGGCTGCCACGGAAAGAACAAAGCATCTGGCATGGAGATGGAGCCTGCACACGGACACGGACAAGGCCAGCACAGACACCAGCATCCTACCTTCTCTCGCGCTTTTGCTCATGCACTCCGCTTCGTCATCATCCCAGCCATCGTCGGCCTCTGTCTCAGCTTGGTTGTCTGCTCTATCGGCTCTCTCGTCGGCCACTGCATCGTTGCTCTCTGGAGATACAGCCAGCGCCGCCGCTCTTCCCCTGGCCAGCAACAGAACATCGACTCTGCCCAGGAAGACGGAGAAGCCTACGAAAAGGAAGGTCTCATGTCCCACGATGACGACGACCACGCGGACGTCGCACCCCAGGAAGAGGATAGACTCCACGGCCAGATCAGACTGCCTGCAGACAAGGCTTAATCTGAGCCTGGCTTGCCTTTCTCACACTTTCTTACATCATTACATCATTACATCGCTACATCAACTTTTCTTAATTTGTTCCTCGGAGTGGAATCGCATGACTACAACTGATACTATTTTCCTTATATCCTGTTACCATATCCTATCCTTACAACCAAGGACTCTCCTTTTCTGTCTGTGTTTTCTATTTTGTACCGGCCTTTCCTTCAGTCTTTCCTTTTTCTCTCTGCTTCAGATGTTCAGCTAGCTCAGGTTTCTTCTCTCCTTCAGGGTCTCGCATAGTCACAGCCACAGGCACAGTACAGTACAGTCTCTTTAAATCAAAGCCTGTCCTTTCTTCTTTCTTCTTTGTCCCCCTCCTCTTCCCGTACGACTTCCGACGGCCGTAGACGTGTCCGCATCAAAAGAAAAGCTCCCTGATCGTCACGGCGCTGTACGCCTTTCGTACCACTTCACAGCCCACCTTTCCTTCCCTCAGCCGCGTGTCAGGCAACTACTCCGTACTGCATTATGTACTTTAGTCACTTAAGCTTGGCCCTCGGGGAATCGATAATCGGCCGTGGAAGATTGTTGTGCCGGCCCTGGCTGCTGATCCCTGAGGGCTGAGGGGGACGATGGATGCTGGATGTATCAAGATATCGTCCAGGGTACGAGATGCTGCAGCGAGTCTCAGGCTGTAGACGTACTTACTCACCTGAATTCCCCTGGAGCCTCTCTCTTTCCGTCTCTCTCTCTTTCTTGCTATCGGTTTTTCTCCTTTTTATCACTGACTATCGCTTCTGCTAGCCTCTCGCTGGTGACCCCTTTTGTTGGGATCGGCGCAAGCGTTCTCCAGGCAGATCCAAGTAGTGACATCCCAAGCTTGCATAAAACTACCTGCCCTACATACATAACTACAGTAACTACATACAAGCTGCCCTCCACCACGCCAGCACGCAGCACAGCTACCCTCCCCCTGCAAACACAAAAGCACAAAAACTACCTGATAAGAAACCAGTCGATCGCTTGATTTACGCCAGTTGCCAGGCTGGTTCTGCAGCCATGTTCCAGATCTCGTCGCTTGTCCAGAAGGCTCAGTCGCTGGTAGACCCGTCGAACTTCGGCTTCCCTGCACCCGCCGCCTCTGATCGAAACCCGTCCAAGGCAGCGCTCTTCCGCCAGCAGTTCCGCCTCCCAGACTCCCAGAATCCGCTGCAGGAGATATCAGCCGAGCTCGTCCTGCCGCTGCCCTACTCGTCCTCGAGCTCGACCCACGGCGAACGAGCCAAGGACGCTGGCCGTTCTGGCAACCGGTATATAGGCAACCTGCACCTCAGCGAACGCTTCATCTGCTTCTCGACACAACCCACCAGCTTCCTGCAGTCGTCAGATTCTCTCTCCGTCTGCGTTTACGGGACAGACGCATGGGACCGGCCCGTCGGGCAACGGCTTCACATTACCCCTCTGTGCGATACGACGAGTCGAGAGGCTGAATAGCCACGGTCACGTCTTCTCGCTTTCCATCACAACTTGGAACGGAGCTCTGGGCAAAGCGGCCACGTCGAAGGATACGCCTGCGTTGGTACAAAAGTTTACAATCCATCTGGACGGTTCGCGCCAGGCCTGTGAGCGGTTCTGTGATGGACTGAAACGGGGACTGAGGGATGGCATGAAGGATGTCGAGGGCCTCAGGCAGGTGGTCGCTGGATGTCACTCGGAGTACATGCTGTCTGGCTCTCGGACGATCAAGAAGGAGGGCGTGGAGGTCGAGACCACCAGGGAGCCGCCGGATACGGGATTGGGTCTGGTGTTTAGGTATCCCGGTGACGCTAGGAAGCTGAGAGATCGGAGTAAGATGCGGTTATGGGGAGAGTACATGAGAGGTATGCTCCCCCCCTGATGACTTTGACTGGAGGATAAACGCTCTCTATTATCTTGGGTTGTTTACTGATGGAAGTTGTAGAAAACGGACGCAATGCCACAATGATAAGGCAGCCTACGTTCCATAAGCTCATCCGAGTCGGCCTTCCAAACCGGCTACGCGGAGAGCTATGGGAGATCTGCTCTGGTTCATTCTATTCACGCCTACGAGCTCCAAACCTGTACGAGGAGACGCTGGCCAAGTTCTCTGGCCGTGAGTCTCTTGCAATAGACGAGATTGAGAAGGATCTCAATCGCTCTCTTCCAGAGTACCCCGGATTCCAGAGTGAAGAGGGCATCAACAGGTTAAGAAGAGTTTTGACAGCGTATAGCTGGATAAACGAAGAAATAGGATATTGTCAAGCAATGAACATCGTCGTTGCTGCCCTGTTAATGTAAGCCCGTCATCTAACTACCTACCTTACCCCCTTTCTACGGCTTATCACTAACATTGCTATAGTTATACGTCTGAAGCACAAGCTTTCTTCCTTCTATCAGTGCTATGTGACCGGTTATTACCCGGTTACTATTCCACAACTATGTACGGAACATTGCTTGACCAAAAAGTGTTTGAGTCTCTTGTGGAAAAGACCATGCCTATTCTGTGGGAGCATTTGGTAAAATCTGACGTCCAGCTATCCGTTGTCTCCCTTCCTTGGTTCCTCTCACTATACATCAACTCCATGCCCCTTGTCTTTGCGTTCAGGGTTCTCGACGTCTTTTTCCTGGAGGGACCAAAAGTACTCTTTCAAGTCGGGCTGGCAATTCTTCGAATCAATGGAGAGGAGCTACTCGACGTCACCGACGATGGAACCTTTATCTCTATCCTCAAATCTTACTTTTCCAGACTCGACGAGTCTGCACATCCTCGTTCAGAAAACCCAAAGCTGCGTGCCATCACTCGTTTCCAAGAGCTCATGGTCGTGGCTTTCAAGGAGTTCTCGGGAATAACCCACAGTACAATCGTGGAGGAACGAGCGCAACACAAGGATGCAGTCTTGAGCAATATTGAAAACTTTGCCAAGAGAACTTCTATCAGAAATCTCGGGCCAGAGAGTAAGAAGCTCAGCGTGGACGATCTAGGTGCAACATACGACCGTTTCTATGACGTGCTATATGATCGCCAACAAAAGATAAAGGCCCAGGAAGAAGAAGAGAGGCGCCGAAATAAGGCCGGAAGCAAGAACCCGGCACGATACTCTACTCTCCTCCCCAAAGTCGAGGAACAAGTAAGCCGTGTTGGCCTTGGACCCAGCCCGTCGCTTATGGACTATGATGGCTTTAGACAATTCCTTGCAGCCACTGCCAAATGGGCAGCCAGTGACTCTCCCCCTCGCAAGGAATCCGCTTCTGATCGAAATGCCAGTATAAGAGGACGCAATAAGTCTTCAGACAGGTCAAAATACCCTGCTCCTGCAGAGCACGACTTTTTAAGACGACTTTTCCGTAAATGGGATGTTGATGGCAACGGCGGCCTCAGCTTACAGAACGTTGTCAATGGCCTGGCTCAAATAAAGGGCGGCAGAGATATAATGAACACAATAAATTACTTTTTTGACCTATATGATGACGATGGCACTGGCCAAGTGGATCGAGAGGGCATACTTCGCATGTCCGAGGCCCTCCTTTTCCTCTCAAGGAGAGGATTTGAAGGCCTAATCAACATTAGGGCGAACGGGGAGAGCGATCGATTATCAACTTCAACCCAGGAAGGAGACGTGCGAGCCCGACCTAAGCTCAGTGCTGACGAGAAGTTCCTAAGCAGTGTCAGCGACTTTATCCAGCATTGTTTTGAATACGCTGATCCCAGCCATCCACAGAATCAAGAACGTACAGAAGTGGAATCGCAACTGGAAGCCTTTAGCATCGGTGACGATGATGACGATGATGAGGAAGAAGAGTACCATCCAACCCCTGACTCAGAGACGAAAGAGAAAGAAAAATCATTAGAGCCTGCAAGCGACGAAATTCCGAACACTCCCCTATCCCCTACTACCAAAGAAGCCTCAGAGGCAGCAAACGCAGCTCTAGATCCTGCACACCCCTTACACATCACACTACCGACCTTCCGCATGGTCATCCTCGCAGATGAACTCCTTGAACAATTCTTTGAAAGCTTTTTCCCTGAATCATTCCACCTCTCCGACCGTCCATCCCAAGACACATCTGCCGCACAGCGCTCTACATCCCTCTCTTCCAATCTCACCACCTTTACCAATCTTGGCTATAACCGCTCCTCTGGCGCAGCTACCGCTCCATCCGGAGCCACAATTGCCGGTGCATCCGGCGGCATCGTTCCGCCAGGCCACAAAGGTCTAAGAGGCGTTCTAGACAACATCGTCTCAGACGGAATGCGAATGGCTGCCGAAGTCCGCAAGAAGATGGAAGAAGCCCAGCGCGAAATGGAACGGAACGCTCTCGGCAGCAGGGCGGACGAAGAAGATGACGACGACGATGACGATGCAGCTTACTATGAACGAAGGAATACCGATGCATCTAAGCTTCGTGCACCATCTATTCGTGAAGGTGATCGCGATTTACTTGAAGGAGCTGAAGTGGCTAGTATTCGGGAACGGGAAGGGTCGGAACAGGCTGAAGGCAGTGCTGCGAATCCTTCCAAGTCAACGCTCTCGCCGTCGCCTGGTTCGCTTGTTCGACGGCCGTCAGACTTTAGTATTGACAAGGTCGAGTTCGAGTCGTAGCAGGCTGCGCGGCTGGGTTAATGAAACTTGCATAAATTAATTGATGATTATTGATAGCTTTTTTTTGGGCATGGCCATGTCAGGACCGGTGGATGGCTGGCGAATTATGTAATTATTATTTTCCAAGATGGAATTGTGATATATCTAGCTCTCCAATTACTGTTTTTATACTATCCTTTTCGTCTTCATTCCCGTTCCTCGTTCCTCCTCTATCCACTCTATACTCGATATATGTTTTGTCTGCGTAGAGGGATAGATCCTTGCGTTATCAAGCTGGCTTTAATAGCCGAGTATAAGCCGTAATAATGAACCGGTCAATGGAGAATCTTCATATCTCTCTTTCTTTTGGTATTATAACTCACAAGCCAAATGTCCGTTGCCTGTTGTATGATATTGTTAGCAAGCACATAAGATCTTGAAAAGGTAAATTAAAGGGACCATCTGTTCCAAGAGAAATGCAAGTGGAAATGTATCTTAAATTGAAGAAGCGAATAGAATAGAAATGGAAGCCAAATGGGGGCGGCAGGATATTTAAACAAAAAGAAGATATCCATGCAAGAAACATGAACAAAAAATAACTCGACAAGAAAGCCAAACATGGGCTAATACTAAATAATAGTTAAGGCTGATAGGTATCATCCGTAAAATTTTAATTATTAAGCCTTGCAATCAACCAAGCCAACCAACCCCTGGAGGTGGAAAACAAGAGTCTAGGATCATGAGGTCGTGATTTTGCGGTCGTATAATAGCATATCCGGGGAGGGCGTTGGTTGAGATGCTGAAACGAATATATGGAATAGCCAGCAAAGAAAAAAGAGCCCAAAATCGAATAAATCGACAGAGAAATGTGATAAAAGGGGGCATGGGTTGTGAGAACTGACCCATATAAGAAGGTAAATGGAATGATCGAGACGGACGTAAGGGGGGCAGCGCAAAAGTCAGGCCTCTGAAAGGGGAGTAGATTAGCAGTATATTTAATCTTTCTGTCCTTCGTTCTCCAAAAGTTCCAGTACGATCTGGCTTCGTTCACGTTCAGGATGCTGCATGCAGATCTTGACTGTGCGAGAAATACCGCCAAATCCAGTGGAGATTCCGAGACCGTTACGTGTGTGGGTGGAGGCTGTGTCATTGAAATTCGAACCGCCTACCGCGTTGGCATGGTGGTCGGCTCCAACACCGTTGTTACCACCATCGTCTAATAGTGTAACGTTTCTCCCGGCAATGACTTGTCGAAGACGACCGTTCATTGCATTGCGGACTTCGACAAAGTCTTCGTTAAAGAGGAGAAGGAACTTTCCGCATAGACAGGCTGCATGAGCGATGCCGACAAATTCCATGACCACGCTACGGCTGACGTCTCCGTGTTTATTGACGTATACTGCGCATTCCTGGAAAGCAACGAGGAACTCACTATCGCTGAGGCGGAACATTCCGAGGGGGCGGAGATCTTTCACTCTGTTTGCGATGCTGGTGAGGTGGGATTGGACGTCGGCTTGTTCAGATTTCAGATTGGGGACAGACCAGGGCTGTTTCTTGTCCAGGGTGAGGACTTCCACGCCTCTGGATGTAGATATAGCAAGAGATGTATGGAAAAGGTTGATTCCATAACTCTCAGCTGGGATATAGAATTCATCATACTCGCGGAAGAACTCGGTTTGGCCTCGTCGGGACAAGAAGCGAGAACGGCTTGAAGATGATTTTTGAAGAACAGGTTCCAATACCTGGGGTGGTTAGTGAGAATATAAGAGAAGTAGTCGTGCATGTTAACATACCTTGAAAGTAGAGGAAATGCCGTCTCTCTTCTTGTAGAATACCAGCGCCCTATCCTTCATGCGGCCCGCAGCAAAGAAGCCTACTTCCCGGTTTCCAGAAAGCTTTTGAGGTGCCCGTCGTTGCGAGTCAGGCTGCACAGCACCATTGACTGGACAGATTGCGTCCAAATGATACCCGATCAAAGACTTGTCAGAAATCAAGAGGAAAAGATTGAATTCCTCAAAAACAGAAATCTGCGTGACACGCAGCATTGAAATTCCCTTTGTCCATCCTCTAGGATCGTCGTATGCAGAGATATATACGCCATAATCTGTACCTATGGCACACATCATTTTCCCAGGAGGCTGCTGGAATACGGTTGCACAATTGACGGCCGCTCTGCAAACGGGCAAAGGTCGAGATAGGTTTCGTTCATACTTCTTCTCAACGTCTCTGATGGCTCTGTCAAGAGGGGTTCCCTTGATAACAGCACTCTTGGTAGGAACGGCCTGATCCGAGTAAGCAAAGGCTGAGTCTGAAAGGACACGCAGTCTGAATGGTTCTGCGTTCTGAGCATAGAGAGCAGCAGCGTGTTTGGTCTTTGCTTCGAAGATCTTCTCGCACCATTCCTGCCGGGACTGGGCGGTTGGAGCGTAAAGAACGTAAACATCACGTTTTCCAAGATGTTTGATTCTGAAAGGATAGAGAATCTTCTCATCTCTGGAGTTTTCCAGGACGGTTGTGGTTACTGATCTGCCAGCTGCACCTGGTGCAGGAGAATTCAGTTGCGGCGCGGTTGCAGCATGAGCGAGGCCGGCTGGGGCGCCGACTCGCGGGTTAGCTGGTGCGATGCCCTTGACTGCGGACCTGACGACTGGGTCATCGTTGGTACTGACCAGGGTAAGGAGATCCATGGGAATAGGCAGCTTAGAAACATCGAATGTCTCATGTTTTATGCCCGCTGCGTCTCTGTGAATCACTATTTTGGCCAAGACAAGGTAATGGTCAAAGAGGATAGCTCGGATATCGACCCAGTTGAACCTCTTTGTCCTTGGTCGTTGCAAGTCGCCTTGATGTATGATTTCGCGCCCAAGATGTTCTAGGTTGAGCTCGACGATGGACTTCATCTCTGGTCTTAGCTGTAGTTTCGCTCCTAGTTCCTTGAGATCCATCTTCTTCGTCATTTCTCCAACTTTGTTGTCACAGTCCAAGGCGACAAGTTTGATTTCCTCGATAGCCTGTAGCAGATTGGCCTTCTCTTCTGAATCCTTTTCCATGTTCTTATGAACAGTGCTGAGAAGCAGTGTATAACGCTGGATACGGGTGATGGGAGCCTTCAAGTAAGTATCCCAGCTCAACCTGTTTGATAATCTGTTCTCACGCGCCTGGTTCAAAAACGAGCGGAAGAGCATGTTTGATTCAGCTTCTCGCCGTACGAGGTAATTGGCATTAGGAAACGTTGCCGCATATTCAATGTAGGCAGCTTTAGCTTTTCGAATCCATTCTCGGAAAATGTCACTGAAGCCAACGATGAAGGGTCCCTGCTCCTTTTGTCTGTACTTGAGCTGAGCTAGTAGATATTCTTCATTCACCCTCTTCACTGCATCGACTTTTCCAAACACGTCCCTAAGGAACCTATCCAGACGCTTAGGGCTGATAACGGATGGCTGTGCTGTGGCAAGGGTATCCCTATAGAGTGTCCGCAGAACATCGAGCTGTGCAATATACGAGTCTTCGGTTGTGACAATTTCGTGAAGGTTGTTTTGACGGTCGATCTCCTTTTTAGAATGCGAGGAGAAGACCTCTTTGCCAATTTTGTAGAATGTCGCCCAATCTTCGGCCTTTTTCTGCGCTTCTACCATTTTCAAGTTGATTTTCTTCAATGTCCTCATGCAGTGGTGGGAGTAACATCGTCCGAATATATCATATTCCTGGTTATGCAACCGGGAGGAATAACATCCCTGACCGGTAATCTGCCATAACACACCAGACAATGTGCCTGGTCCAAATTTTACCCACTCTTCGTCTTTGATCAATGCTCCTGCGGCAAACATGCTCTTGACGACTCTGTCACTGAGAGTCTCGGCGTCTGCGGTATTCATGGTTGGGACTTTGTGGGTGAACAAAGCAACTATTGCTTCAACAATTGAATGCTCCTTTAGATCTGTCTCATCTTCAGCAAGGTCTCTTATCCAAGCCACAATGGCACTGATAGCCCATGGCTCTGAGCACTTGCGGAACTGTTCGCTCGATAGTTTACCTGGGTGGAACTTCTTCCGCTTTCCAGTAGGAAGAACCGGAAGGTCAAGGGTGACTGATGGGGTTGACATGGAGGAATCGTAGGCAGCTTGTTTTGATTTAGCCCTGTCAGCATCCGTCTTCGACCGAATGATTGCATCTGCAGATTTATGTGAGGTTGTATGGTCTGATAGTGATGTTGAGCGAGGAACAGCCGAAGTAGAGTTGGAATGAGTATATGTGTTTGGAGAAGTTGGATAACCCGGCATATGGTAGTGGTCCAATGGTATTTGGCCGGTATGCTCGCTAGAGCGATAAGTACCTGCAGGCATGAGATGAGGAAGTAGATTTTGGGCGGCAATCGGGACAGGGGGAGGTGGCAGGGGCCTGGAGCTCATTCCTGGATGGAAGAACAAGTCCTGAGGTTCTCCTTCTCCGGGTGCATCGCTAAGAGAGCTCGTGGCGGACGAATGCCTTCTAAGAACCGCTTCGTCTCCATTTTCAAAGCTCATGCGACGATAAGCTGAAGGTTCGGAGAGCCCACCTGTACCAACGGCATCGACCCTGGCGGTGGGTTCAATCTCGGGGAAGGGATGTATGGAGTCCTGGTCGATACTAGGGTAATCATATTGATTGGAGGTACTGTTCCTGCTTTCGCGTTGGGAATTGGCTCTCGCTCCCTCCATCAGAGCATCCTCCCCATAGTGCATGTCAGCGCTATATCCGCCGCCATAGAGACCAATATCGTGGAGAGCAAAGTCACTATCACTACTCGACTCTCCACGGTGTTGGCTTTGGGGCAGTGGCGGTGGTGGTGTCTCCTGGTGCTGGTAGCCAAACGAGCTTGCAGTAGATGTATGCGTATTTCGTCTTGCGCGCATGGCAGCCTCTTCCTCATCGGCTACTCGCAGAGCTTCCAGCCCAGCAGCTACTTCTGCATCACTGTCGTCGCTGTAAGCATTGTAATTAACATATTGCCCTGTCCCAGTGGAGCTAATATTTCCTCCATTGGTATGAGTCTGTACTTCATCCGGGAAGAGTTGTACGCCGGGCGAAAGCGCAGAAGTCGGGTAAGGACTATCATCAGACTCCTGTATTGGTGGCTGTTGTGGGAGTGGCCGTCTCGCCCGTGAACTGTGTCTGCGCGTGGTGTCTGGCCTTCCTTCCATGACGGCGGCCTCCACCTCCTTGATAATATCATCATAGCTCGGCTCCACCTGGTCACGGCCATTTCGCCCTTCGAACTCAGGTGGTGGTCCGGGAAGTGGCCGTGCCTGTGGATGGCGGGTGAGCGTGTCCGTACGTCTAGGAGAAGAAGACTGGGAGTTATGATGTGCGGGAGGAGGCGGGGGCGGGGGGCTTGCTGAATAGGAAGCCGGCTTGGTAGCCCAATACCCTGCGTCATGTTGAACCGTGCTATGAGCAGGCGTATTTGGCGTGTATTGGTACTCAGCAGCTTGCGCCGGAGCTTTGGCGGAAGAGTATCTCCGGATACGATCGTTTGTAGCCTCGGTGCCATATGTAACCGCCGATTGAGGGTGGGCTGATGAAGGGTAGTTATAGGACGAGTATGAAGAAGGATGCGCAGATACGGGGGTGGCAGCAACACTCTGAGACGCAATGGGAGGGTAAGTTGGATGGTGGTGAGTTGTTTGGTTGCCGTATGGAAGCGAATAGTCATTGTAACTATCCAGCGGGCGAGCCGACATGGGACCCGGCGAAGTAGGCACAGCATGAGACGGAGGGAAGAAGGATGGCGAGGTTGAAGGGTATGAAGTCTGAACCGGCGTGCCCGCGGACCAGTTTACACCTGGCGATGACTGAAATGATCCTACAGAGGGAGATGACTGGTACGCCGCAGGAATGTAGGGCTGATGATGCGGCTGCTGGCTGGAAAACTGCGAGAAGGCCTGTGGATTGTAGCTAGCCTGCTGCGGCGTGGGAGGAGGCTGTTGCTGCTGCTGCTGCTGCGAGAACTGCTGGGGGTTGTATGACGGCTGCTGCTGGCCTGGGGACGGGGTGCTGGTGCCCTGGTACTGGTGCTGGTATCCCGACATGGCGGAGGAGCCGTGGGAAGAGGTCTGGCTCACGGCAGAGTGCTGCGAGTGCCTGGAGCCGAAGTTGCTGGAGTGAGACCCGTGGACGCTTCCTCCGCGACCGTCGTGGTACGGGTATGCTGACGCTCCTCCGCCGACTGCAGCCCTGGAGTCGAAGTATCCGGTGTCGTCCCCGGCCTGGTAGCTGGGAGACCGCTGCATCTGGGCGTGTGGCGGTTTCTGGCCGGCAAGGTGAGGGCCGGTAGGGTACTGGGAGGCGTGCTGCTGCTGCTGCGAGGGAGCTTGGGGAGCGATTCCTTGCTGGCCGTGGTGGACATGAGGCTGAGACGGGCCATGCGACACAGCGGCCGACAACGGTGGATAGGCGCGAGGCGGGCGGTTCTCCTGGTCGGGCATCGTCTGCTTCCCTTCTCCTATTTTCTTCTGTTCTGTCTTCCGTGTCTCACTCGGCCTGCCCGCTTGCACCGTCCAAGGCGATCGATCTCGAGAAGCAAGCCGGCGGCCAGGACATGGGCGTTTGTCGTGTAGTTATGGGCCGGGGGGGTAGTTAAGTAACTAACTATGCGTTGTTGCGCGCGGGAAAAAGAAGAGGCGGCCTGAGTTGTAACGAGCGGAAGTTTTCGTGCTTCGGCGAGGGATCTATCGAGTTTGAGCCGCGGCCAGGGACACCATCGCTGCTTCGGCCGGAAAAGACGAGACGACAGCGCGTTGAAGTTGGTGTCTTTTGGTGCTTTTGGTACTTTTTTGGTGCTTTTGGTGAATCTCGACGTCGCTTTTTTGTTCCTCTTGGAGGTTGCAGCTGCTTAGTCAGCATGGAACCGACGATGAAGAAGAAAAAGACGACGACGATAGACATGAAGACGATGATGATGAAGGAGAAGAAGAGGAAGAATAAGAAGAAGACGAAGGTAAACATGAATGACAGTCATGGGCCGAGTTGCTGTCTTCATCTTCATCTTTGCTGGCGGTGGTTTGCGGCCAAGTCGATATCTATGAGCATCACAGCTAACTAACAACCGCTAACTACGGAGTACAGGAGACAGTCAAGAGCATGCAGCTTGATAGAGCATGAGACAGCCAGTGACTTCGGGATAGTAAGTGTCTATTGCATCATTGACAGTGACAGTGACGGTGGCAGGATGGCAGACTCAGCTTCAATGGTGAAGCGAGTCTTCACCCGCAAGGCTTCACGGTCAATGTAACCACGATATCGATATTCAATATCCATACCACGGTGACCGGTGGCAGTGATCGAGCCGTGGATCAGCAATGAAGGAGCCTTTCACTGCCCGGTCTTTCACTGCCTACAAAGAAAAGAAGCAGCAGAGTCACTGTCTCCAGCAGCAAAGACCTATGGATTCCGTCTCATGTCTTCACTGTCCGTCTCATCTTTCACTGTTGGGCTTTGTCTAGAGCCATGTGTGCCAGCAGTTAATACATGAGACGGAATCACTCATGGCCCTCTTCATCTCCATATTCCTTTTCCTACCATGCCTCAATCACCGTAGAAAAGGCCCAATTATAGTCACTGAGGCGTGGGAAGCTGTCTATAAAAGGGCCTTCGTTTCCCTTCTTCTCATTCTTCCTCTTCCTCTTCCTTTCCCATCACCATCTCCATCCTCATCCTCATCCTCATCCTTATCCTCCACTTCCCCTAAATACTCCCTATCTTACGCCTCAAATATTTATATGGCTACTACGAAGCACCCATCTACACAATACTATATGATGGACTTTTAATCTTCTTATTTTTACCTATAGGGAGGCTGGTGTGAAAGTACCAAAAGGCAGCAGAAGTATGGCCAACAGCTTACTTTATCCCTACTCTGGCTGGATTTCCCTGACATTACCACCGGTAGTGGACACCATACTGGCCCCGGTGGTAATAACTTACAGCCACCTTGGGAGTCGTCGGCCTTTGCAAAAGTACGGGTTTCCATCCTCGCCAATAACAATTAACCCTATCAATTTCGGCTTTAGAAGTGTGGGAACTTTATCGATGCGCTTGTTGCATGGGATTCAAGTATGATCTTCCAATAAACTATACGACATTAGCCCGCTAGGTATCGATTATTGAAATGGCTCCAAAAAAGGATTATCGATCTCATACATACCCCGACTTTGATATCTATACCCCATGGTGAGCGGCCTCGGGTTGGGTCTCCAGAGCCGCACACCCAGAAATCGTTTGAATTATATGGAATATATACTCTGGCCACTATACCTCCCGCTTCATATGTCTCTCCTTTAAGCGGGCTGCGGGAAGTCAATGCCATTCAATATGCTATATCCACGATACACCGGTAATACCAACACATCCGAAGCTTGCGTTCCCTGCCAGCAGCTTATGATTGACTTTTTGGGATATAAGCATCGTTCCATGGGAAGCTACCATGGTTCCGTTTCGCATTTAGAAAGTCAAATTTTCGGTTACGCTATTTCGCAAAATTGCCTTGCTGTCTATGACGGCATAAGAGGATGGATGCTCACGTCTTCCACAAACCTACGGAGCTGTCGCTGGACAGAGTCCAATATAAATACACTACCTCTACCAGCATTTGTGTGCACTGCAAATATACAGCAACATTCTGCTATCGCAATATTTCGCCTTGGAAAGGTTTACACATCCGATAGCATCGGGGCTAATCTATTCCTCCCCCACTACCGTCCGTCACAGTTATTGAAGGAACATAGTCATACGGTGAGTCAATACTTTGAGCAATGTTGACTATGCTAGAAACTGACAGTTACACTGGAATAGGGACATTGTGTTCTCGAGGCTGAATTTACTTGCACTTTCTATTCAATATTTACAATCACGCTACAACATCAGATAAATATTATTGCACGCCTAATGAGCTCTATTATGGTGGTACCCGTTAATCGTTTGTGATTCTTCAACTTTGGGGTGGTCGTGCCACTATCTGTGAATCGTCCCTAATATTCAAGGGTCACGCTCGATTCTTTCATACCGAAAGTGAACTTCACGATCCACTACCAAGGCAGTATTTGCGATAGCAAGTGAATATTTCCTGCCTCGAATGAAGCCAAAGAGGCGACCAGGCTGCTCTATTTAAGTCGCTATTCCCCCCTCGGGGGAATTTCTTTTTCATTCATATCCCCAGAGGAAATCGACCAGTTCAATAACCCTCCTTTATCGACTACCTTGATTAAAACCGCTTGACATTTTATGCTTGTGTTGCCTCTATTCTCCCCAGTGCCTAGCATCCACTGCCCTCAAAGACATCTCTCTCTTACCAGGCATCAGTCAAGCTGCGTTGGACGTCATGGCGGGAGCTAAGAACGACGTACTAAAGGTCGTTGGTCGTGTTGGGGTCACTCGAAAGACCAGGGCTTCCCAGAGGAAGGCGTCATCTCAGGGTATGTCACATATTGCCATGTATTTACTGTTATTTTTGGCTATAATCTCCCGCTATATCTACCTTGTTACAAGCCCCTTATACGGATGCCATCTATACCTATTGGCTATTGGCTATATACCCACTGTATGTATTGATACCAGAAGAGCATATGATTTGGGCAAAAGAGAAATTTCAAGCTATACCATTCCATGTCCTCACTTTTTCTCACTTGAGTTCCTTATTCTTCTCTTTCTTTTCATACACCCTATGAAAACAAGCGATATCACGCGTGCCACAGTGTCCTGTCGGCTATACAAAAACACTATTACCCCTTTTGTGAAATCAAAACACCCGCATCTTCTTTCAATACCACAACCACCACCACGGCAGCCACAACCATCCTCTTCAATACCCAGATCTTGCTGTACGGAATGACAGAATGTTTACTGACTGGTAGCTACAGCCAACACGTTACTCTCATGGGCTACATCTGGATCCAGTAGCCGCTCCTCCACTGAAAAAGATGGCTGCACATCGCAGGCTGCCCATACTGAAACTGTTGTACCAGTGCTCAAAGACGAACTGTTAGAACCTCACGGCCAACCTCCGGTGTGGGCCGAGGACCGAGTTGTTCTTGGAGACGCTCTTCCCTGGTTCCATTCTGTCCAGGGGGGCTGCTACTACCTCGACAATATCTGCCGTGGTGTACTCATTGACGAGGACTGCGGTGACAGATCATATATAGGTGATGAGGTTGTCATCACCAGAGTGTAAGTTATATGTTCTATTACATCACATAGGCAAAGTGGTCGCTAATTCGTATATAGGGGCGGCTCATGCAAGAAGACGAAGGAAGGGAAGCTGGTCATGACCAAAGACCACGACCCGAATGGTCCTATTCTTCGGTCTCTCTTGAACTCCATGAGGTTTGAGATCCCTGTCGGCCTCATACTAGGTGAGTCTAAATCCCATTACCCCTTTTGAGTGCCCTACCCTCTGACATGAATAATAAAGGAGGTAAAAACACGGACTGCCGCACCAAAGTCCCGTACAATTTCAATGTATTGGACTTCTTCAGAATCACAGATATCTGGTTTGAGCAAGTTGGAAAGTTCAAGGGTGCTCAGATGCGCTTCGAAAAGATCAAACTTGCTGCGAAAAGCTGGTGGTCTCCCAAGGGCTCTCCTGACCCTCTCCCTCTTGAACAGCGCGAGTCCGTAACTCCAGCAAAAAATCCAGTCTGCTCCTCTTGCTCAAATGGAACCACACAAGTCTTTGCAGAAGGCTGGATGTGTCTTAACCCGTTGTGTACTGAGTTCTGGAAAATGGAAGGGTCATTGCCGCCATCCGAGCTCACTTTCGCTCCTGAATTTCTCACAAAGAGGTCGAAACCAAAGAATGTCGTCCTACCTCCTTGCAGCTTAATACCAGACCTCCTATCGACATTCTCCAATGATCAAACAGATGTCACTGGCACACGCATGGCATGGAAGGGAATCATCTGCCCGCAGTGTAGAGCATGCATTGCCAGAGTACATTGGAGGCGGTGGGAGTGCTCGACATCTGGATGCGGATTTCAATACAGCCCGCCAATGAACCATGTCTCGCTGCGATCTGTACTTCCTGACCTGGAGATGAGCCCGTCCGGTCACAGACTACCGACTATTCCTAAGGATATCAGCACAATGCCGACAGTGCAGTACATGAAAAACTACCGGAAAGACACCTTTCTTCTTCCGGGAGCCGGCATAGTGACCCATTTTGCAGCCAACCGAACTGTGAACAGCCGTCCTGGCGGGCCTGACGATCTCTTCAACCAGATGCAGCAGGAAGATCTAGGTCTCAGACGATATCCTATCTCTCCTTGTGTCGGTGAGTTTCTCCTTTCCGTTCTTTCTTCTCTTTCCGCCCCTTGATATCGGTATCTTCCCGTATACCAACATAAGGCAAACGAGGATAAGACATACCCCGTCACAAATCATGAATCTCGTTTTTCTCCCGTCTTTTTCAGAGATCTTAGTCCACAAAACTAACTATATAATCCTCCACCTAGTCACTGGAACTCTGACTTCTCACTTCGCTGTCAACTACGTGAGCTTCCCCTACTTCTAATACTATTTCTCCCATATCTAATACCATATCTATAGGGAATGCCGTATAAATATATCGTGAGCGTAGACTCTCGACCTTTCAACACGGCTCCGCCTGTTATTACCAGTGCTCTCGAACGTCTAAAATGGGCGACGAAGCATACAGTGAACGCCGAAGATTTCCAAACACCCAATGAGCTCCTTGCCCTTGGGTACTTCGAGGATATGTCGATCGGGTACCATGATGACGGCGAATCGTCCCTTGGCCCAACCATCGCAACCATCTCACTTGGAGGGCCGGCAACCATGCTCATCCGTATGAAGGACGAGTACTACAATGGCTTCCGCAAGAGAGACAACAAGGACAAGGTTTATCTACAGCATGACCCGGTCTTGCCAGGTTGTGCAAATGAAGAAGCAAGAGCTGAATTTGCACGGAAGTTCAACTCTAAAGAAATCACATCAGAAGAGTATCTGGCTGCTCGACAAGCTCTACCTACATCAAGAAGAGAGGCACCTCCGCTATGCACAATGGCTCTTCACCATGGTGACCTTGCTGTGATGCATGGACCAGATTTACAGAAGTACTACGAGGTAAGTCTTCTAACTCCTGCGTATGTGTATGTTGGAACTAATACTTACTTTTTCTATAGCACTCTGTTATACCATCTAGTCGACTTCGATTTGCTCTAACTGCTCGGTACGTGATGCCTGATCAGGTACCTGAGTCTGAGCACTGGAAGGGCGATTACGACCCAATTCCAGAGTTCGAATATGATGGAGATGAGTCTTAAACAAAGCTCCGATAGGGAAGCCGGTAAAGATCATTCTCGAATTGCACTCCGCAGAGTATCTACCGCCACAGCCATCTGCGACTGCGTACTCGCATTCACCGAAACCGTAAGGCAGTTAAATTTGCTACCCATAATTCAAATTAATGCACCGAACCTCCGATTGCAGACCTGAACCCTTACACATACGGCAATGACCAAGCGGCTTTATAAGATTTACCTGTCCGCAACGATTGACTAGTTATCGCAACCCTGAAAAAATAAGTAAGCTGCCTAATGAAAATCAAAAGCAAAAGACCACATATTCCGGTCCCTTCTTTGCAACGGATGCAAGTATATTCTCAGTTGCAGCCACACGATGATATTGGCCTCCACTCTGCAAAAATAGCACTTATTACTAGTACTTCTATTTGAGAGTCCCTGTGATATACCCAGCCCCTACCGGAGACTATCTGCATAATACTAGTCGCTCATAAATAGATACCCCTCCAACTCTGAGACTGTCTTCTGCTTGACTTTCCCTGTTTACCGAGTAGCCTCTTGGAGTGTAGTAACTCCTACAGCTTCGTACATGGCTAGATACCTGCACATGGAGTCGGCTGGATTTCTAGACATGTTTCTGGAAAATTTCAAGATCAAAGCTCCGATGCACGATTGGGTGCATCAACCCAGAGTCAAGGATAAAGCAACTCCAAAGAGCCTTACTCAAGTCATTGCGAGAATAGCTGACAAGGAAGAACATGACGTTCTCCTAAATGTGGAAAAACCCAGTGCATATACGCGAAATGCGGCACTAGAGCAGTGATTCTATGCCTAGATACCTATGTGTGGGAAGAAGCACTAAAGGATGATGTAGGGGAAAAAGCAAGTGCTGAGGCACTTGATATGTTACTGCTTACAACCAAGGTCCCTATCTGTGAGTATAGTCCTGTGTGTATTTTGGACAGAGGCTAACATATACCAGACGGTATCAATAGCATCGAGAACGACACTGATGAAGAGCTGATAGACGAAGCCCAAATCATTTCCCTAGTCACACCATTTCCTTACGGCAGTTCTAGTGAAAGGTTAGCAGTCTGCTGCTTCTATACACGGTTTATTTAACTTAGTTACTGAGCTCGCTCGGCCAAATATCTGGTGCGAGGAGAGCCCTGAGGGAGCGCTGAGACGCATGTCTGTACAGCCGGTGGGAGCGTGCGGGCCTCAAGCCTTTCACGGAGTTGCTTTTAGTTACGGCTTGCTAGGGGGATGATATTATTGGGGTAAACTAGTTATCAATATTCTATAAGCTTAAGGCTAAAACTGGTTTTGGTTTACCAATAGCAGACGAGACTTAGGAGGCAATTTAGATTGGCTGGTTAACATGCGCCTCCTAAAGGGTCATCGCAATTCTCCTCAAGATATCCAGTTCAGAATGCAACCTGTACATTTTAACCTCGGAGCCAGTTTTGGGGATTCTGGTTCACTAGAGCAGCTCGAGACGGGCCCCAGCGTAACACATAACCAGAGCTTGCCGTCCGCACTGAGGGTATCAAATTTATAAGGATAAGAGAAAGGAGAAGTTAAAGAAGAGGGTAGGAAAAAGGGATGCGGAGGAAGACTGTTAGGAGGGAGATGTAAATATCTTGGATATACCTAGCGACGAGGGGATGACGGTCTGAAGAAGCGAAAGAGGAGAACGGCTGTATGAGAGAATCTATCAAGATAATGTTGTGAGCTGCGGCTTAAGGTATATATATATATACATATACCCAGGCTCATCAAAAGACAAAAGCCAACAACCTTCCCCCCTTAATCATAATGTCTCCATCGGTACTAGTAGAGGCGCCAACTCGGGACATGTATGAATATCTTCGCAAAAATTCGCTCCGAGGTCCTTGAGTACATTGCACCTTTCCTCCATCGTTAAGGCGTTGACTAGACCCTGGGCATCAAATAATCTCCCACGCCAACCACCACTGGTATCAATAAACCATACGCCGCCACTCTCCGGGAAGCCTACAGTAAGGTTGATACCTATAGATGGCTTAACAGCGTCAACAAACTTAGGCCAGAGGATGTACGCAGGCCATGAAAAACTCAAGCCCCAGAAGCTTGCGCCGTAAAGCCGTAATTTCGCGCAAAACGCATCCTCTTCGGCCTGGTCTGTTGATACTTTAGAATCGTGGAAGCGGTCGACTCCAAGATGGGCCATCTCCACGGGCGTGAGGTGTTTAACCCATACACCGTGGTTCTGCCAGCAGGAGACGTAGCCACTTTGCTCCATGCTGTGACGGTATAGCGGCGAGGGTGGTTCTCCGTATCTGGGCGACGGTTTTGCAAAGTCAATATACTCATTAGGTATGAATAGGCCAGGGTCCGCCCCGCTCCAGTCGGCGTCAGCTGGGTAATAGGTGTATGGTTGATGCCAGGGTAGTTTGTCCCAGTAGATATAGTAGAGGGCAGAAATGAGGATAACCAGGAACACGATATAATATTTGTATGGGCGGCCTTGTCGTGCGCGGGCGCTGTGAGGTATCTCCGTAGTAGCCATTTTGCTTTTTGATGCAGCATCTGATGATCTCTCGCCCAGAGCAGGAGGTATGGCAGAAGTCATGGCGGCTTTCTTTTGTGCAGGGAGAACCGATTTAAATAGGGGTAGTGGTTTTGAAGGTGTGTATCTTTTTCATCAAAATACATAATGGGCGATGGGGGGTTGATACACCACATAAAACAGCCCAACAAGGCAGTTAATAATAATAATAACAACAATGAAGCTAGCAAGAGCCGCAGGAGTGATATAAATGTTGGATTAGTCATCCATGCAGGCTGGCGCCGAACAGCTTTTTTGTCCCGTTGTTGTTGGTCCCTGAAACATCCAACACGTAAAAGTTGGACGGCTCCGGGCTATGCTGGTTAGTTAACTATTGACCAGTTAACTAGCTAACTAACTGCTAGCAGGGATAAAAATAAATATCTTAATGCGTGATTATTCTATAATTGACCTTCTTATACTTATGGCAGCCTACGAACTGACTGATAAATATGTGTCAAGTTAACCGGGTGGTGATCCTGGCTAGTGAGAGTGATTACAGCCTACATTTCCAATGAACCGTCCGCCCATTAACTGGCTTCCTCATAGCTGGATAATTGTTATATGTACGGGAGCGTGAATCCTTGCATCTTTAGTTATGCCAGGCAAATATCAGAATAATAATACCCAGGTTAAGCAGTTGGGCTGGGTTTTGGGGCGCGGCGTATCCAACAACTAGTCGTTTTGGATGCCTGTTCCCTCTATGGTCTATACTTAGCCCCAGCACTCTACCGGCCGGCGTCGATGCAGCACAATGCTTACAATCCTCTACATCAACCGTTTTTCGCTAACCTGGGCGATTAGTACATGCAATATCCATGCGCGCTGACCACTGCAAGGGCTAATCAACGAGCGTTTACTTGAACACTGCCATGTACGGATTTGCAGTTAATACGGAGTCGAATCCGGTGCTTTGCATCAGATATGAAAATAGCCCACGGGATTAATGGAGAATGGAAATACGCCCTGTTGAGTTGACAATGGGCCATGGGGATATAAAGGCTTAAATGGGCCTCTATTTTCTCATACCCTCCTACCCTTTGATTAAATCTATCACCTAACTACTGATTGATTCTGTTACACTGCTATTTTTCATTAATAATGAGGCCGTTGGCTGCCCTATTACCTTTACTTGCTGCTTTGCTGCTCGAGCAAACGGCCGGCTCCCCGGTATTGGGGCCTCGTCAGGAAGCCAGTATCAATTCCGTGAACTTGGTGTTCAATGCCGAATGCCCGGGCGAGAGGCAAAGAGATATCATTTCAGCATGGCAGGACGCTGTCAAACTCGCACAGAATGTGGGAAAGATTGACTTTGATGATTGGGCTGCTTGGGAATTCTTTGGGCCCCCGCAATTGTTGAATAGTTTGTCTTCTTTTCATGCAGGTCGTATCATTTATATAAATATGCTAACGTCATTTCAGAAGACGACGAACGGAACAAAAAGGACTACAGACAGAATATTCAAGCGATCTTTGATAATGTGAAATCTTCTGGACAGGGATGGTCACTCACTCCAGAAGATTGGAAGGTTCGGATCAATGTCAACTGCGGACCCAAAAATCAAGATATAGACGCAGAATGCCGTGGAAATTCAAATACAAGGGCTCACACCGGCAACAGCAAGAGTCTCGATGGTTCCGGTGACCAGCACTACGAGGATCCATCTGCAACAATGAATCTGGTCATCTGCAACAGCTTTTTTGCATACGACGGTCTGGACAAGGCGATAGAGAAGAATAAAGGTCTCGACGACATACTCCAAAAATTCGATCTAAGATACTATCGCAACCGAGGTAAGATTTCTCATATCCATAACTAGTTAACTAACTCTTCGAGAACCAAAAAGAGTATGTCTGCTACTTAGCTGACTACTTATAGCCGATATTATATTGCACGAGATGATGCACAGCAATAGATTGACCTATTTGCCGAATGATAAGCGCCACATTACCGACCATAAGATGTTGATAACCGTATGTGAGAGAGAGAAGGACAATAAGGAACTCTGCGACAAAAAGCAAAAGCTAGTGGACGCATATGGCCCTGAGAACGTCAAGATCCTCGCGCGGACAGTCGCCGATAGTACAGCATCCTATGTTACAACAAATGGTTCGTCCAAGGCTCTTTTCCATGACCATAATGCACTTGCTCTAATAATGTTATAGCCAATAACTTTGCACTATATGCTCTCTCGAAATATGTACAAAAAGAAATTGGCGGGTAAGTTGGCACCTTGCGTCCCTGATTGACTACCGAATAGACTGAAGTGCTTATGTGTATGTGACAGATATCCTTGGAACCCGAAGGCTAACGGCCAGTACGATAAAGTTTATAGTGGATGTGGACTCTCAGTTACTACGAATGGCACCGAATGTGGAGTGCTAGAGGAAGATTTTGAGAAGATTTCTCATGGCGAGGGTGATTTCGGCACTACCGAAGAAGGCGATGTTCCCACCGTGAATGATTTAGAATGGACATCTGATGAGCAATACCCAAGTGGCTATATCAAGCAACTCAAAGAACGGATGGCCATGGATCAGGATGCTCCAGCGCCTATCCCATCGGGACCGCCCCTGAAGTGCAACGGTCTTGGTTCGAACAAATACGTGTCACAGTCTACACTTGCAAACAATATCACGATGTTTTGCAGCGATGCCGTGAATCAAGGTGTTCAGGACAATGGCACTGTATCCATTTCCCGGAACTATAACCATGGCGTAAGTCAAGTGTTTTAACCTACATACACGCATGGCGTACCGCAGTTATTGAAATACTAATAAACTACTATAGGCTAATGACGAGGTTGACATCTCAATTGGCTGGCCTTCTGGCATGGAAACCCCGTTCAATGAAAAAGAGTGTAACAATCAAATGAACAGCATCTTAGACAACTGTGGCGGCAATGGCCCTAGCAATCCTAGGGGCTACAACGGCGGTGGGACTGTCACAGTTGGCGAAAATGTCGTCTACCATATTACCCCCGTCAGTGCCCGGAACCCCCTTCCCAATGAACCGTTTGGAGGTTGCGACTTTAGGGATAAATTTGCCTTCAAATCATTCTGGGTTTGGGGCGCTGGCTGGGAATCCTGGGATTATGGGAGTAGAAATGGTGGCTTGTACGAGGAACTGAAAAAATGTAATCAGGGCCGTCAAGTGGAAGACTGGAAGTTTTCATATGGCCTTGGGTCCGATCAAAGGGAGTGAAT